ATCAAGGCCTGAACCTTGTATCATAGGCGATTGATATCCTGCTACAGGTGGGAACGTGATGTCCCGGCCTGCAGCGGTGGAGGCGAGCAGTAGAATCGATAGTGCAGTCAACATTGTCGAGATGGTAGGTATCTGGTTGATTTGTAGAAGGACGATACGTGTATTTATCGCTACTCAGTTAGTTGTCGAGGTGTGACAAGGTCGAGTGATATTCGGCTAGACATGCTCAAAGAGGAAGGTCCTACCGGCGCCAGCTTGATCTTATCACCTTGACCGGCACAACATTCACAAAACCTCGTGCATGGCCTCCAGAATGTTCTTGAAAGAAATTTACTAAAAGCCATGCCGACGACTAACATATTCACGCCCACGTCTCCAATTAGCTTCTCGACTTTACCACCGACACAGCCTCCATCCCGCCCATGTCTGTCGGCCCTTCCCAATATCAAATTTGATGAAGGCAGCCATCTTTCATTCGAAAACTTCAACTCAATTCTGTCAACTCTACTGGGGTATACGACAAAACAACCATGGACGCATCCGTCCTCTTTAGAAACCGCTAGCAAACTTCTTCTTCAACTTCTCGTACTTCTCAATGCTTCCCACACTCTTGTGTACGACGCTGATGGCGTACTCAAAGTCCTCCTGCGCGACCTTGTTGTCTTTACGCTTCAAGCAGTGCTGACCTGCCTGGCGCAAGAGTGACTCAAGATCGGCACCAGAGTAACCATCGCACTTCTCGTCACGAGCGATCTGCTCGATGCCGGCAGGCCATACACCAGCTCTGCCATCCTTGGCTCTAGATTGTATCAAAGCCTTGAGAATCTCAACACGCTCTTCTGTGCCGGGAAGACCGACGTAGATCTTGGTTTCGAGACGGCCAGGACGCATCATGGCCTCATCGATGATATCAGGTCTGTTGGTTGCTGCAATGACGTAAATACCAGCGCGATGAGACAGACCATCCAGCTCGGTGAGCAGAGTGTTGACGACACGTGCAGAAGCTTCGGAAAGCGAGTCATCACGGCGAGGCACAAGTGCATCGAGTTCATCGAAGAAGATGACACAAGGTGCAGAGGAGCGAGCGCGGTTGAAGAGCGTACGCACTGCACGTTCTGACTCTCCGACGTACTTGTTGAGTAGCTCCGGACCCTTGACACTGATGAAATTGGCCTTGGACTCGGCCGCGACTGCTTTGGCGAGCAACGTCTTACCACAACCGGGAGGACCCCAGAGTAAGACACCAGTAGGTGCAGAGATACCAACCGCAGCATACAAGTCGGGTGATTTGATAGGTTCCACGATGGCAGTTTGAAGCTCTTCTCTGACACTTGTGAGTGCACCAATATCCTCCCAAGTAGTGTCCGGTATCGTTGCGAAGCCTTCGCGCTTGGAAGAGGGCGTGATTGTGGGCAGAACAGTCAAGAAAGCTTCCATAGGAATAATGGTCTGCTCGAAGCCCTCGGGCTCCTCCATTTCGGTATTCCTTGCACGGATGACTAGGCGGTCCCAGAGTTCGTCAACATTTGGCTCTTGGTTGTCGTCGAGCTCCATTCCGTCAGTCGTTGCTTCTACCTGCCTGATCAAGGCGTCTTGGTAGCGGTCCATAGCCCAGGTAGCAGCCTTGCCCACAAGATCCCTCAGATCAGCACCCACGAAACCAGGGGTCATCTTTGCGAGTTTGGGGAAATCGACGTCGTCAGAGATGGGCGTGTTCCTCGTCTGCGTGCGCAAAATCTTCTCTCTCATAGGTTCGTTGGGTACACCCATGTTGATTTCAGTGTCGAAGCGACCACCTCGTCGCAGAGCGGAGTCGATGGTGTCTGGTCTATTGGTGGCAGCGAGTACGATGACAGGCTTTCCGTTGTTCTCCTTGTTGTCGAGAGCCAAGCTGTCCATGCTGATCAGAAGCTGGGCTACGATGCGCTTCTCCATCTGACTCTGCGAGCTCTCACGCTTTGGGGCAATGACATCGATCTCGTCGATGAAGATCAGACATGGGGCGTGTTTGCGGGCTTCGTCGAAACGGTCTCGAATCTGCTTTTCAGACTCTCCCGACATGCCCGACACGACAGATGGACCAGCGATTTCGATGAAAGGAACGCCGAGCTTTGCAGCACTTGCCCTTGCCAGCATAGATTTACCACATCCAGGAGGACCGTGCAGAAGGATACCACGAGGTAGGGGGACGTTGAGGTCGGCATAGCGTTGGGGGCGAAGTAGAGGCAGAGTCAAGAGGTTCATGAGCTGGCGCTTGACGTCGTTGACACCGCCCAAGTCTTCGAGAGCGATGCCAGTGGGTGGTGAGCGGTCGATTTCCTCATTCTTGTCACGCTTCAGGCGTTTCTTGACGGGCTCGCCATTTGCTTCCCTCCTCTTTATTTCAGTGGCAGAGCCATTTGCTGCAGGAGTGCCAGGTACGGTGGTGGGAGTGGCGATCTTCCACGAACCAGTAATGCTCTTATTCATAATGTTTGGTTCCTCTTCTTTGATTGCGAACTTGTCGGCTTCGGCTTCTTCGTCCTCCTGAGCATCGTCTTCAAGGGTATCTAGTATGCGCTCGAGGCTGTCTTCGAGGGATCGCTTCGGCTTTCGTTTTAAGCTGGAATTTGAGCGCTGGATGGCTTGATATAGGCTGCGGACGTCGGGCCTGTTCAGGGGGTCCTGGAGCAGATGAGTCACAGCCTGGTACACTTCGTTGTCCAGACCCTGGCGCAAGCGGGAGGAGGGCCTTCCAGGCATNGATGGTGTGCGGGTGTTTGGATTGCTGAGATGCTTCGCGCGACTTGTTGATGGACTTTTTTCAGGGAGAGCCGACAATGTGGGGCTGCGACAGATGGCCGAAGCACCCAAGTGTTTTCGGGGTCTCAGTGGGATCGTTGACATGCAATTCACCTCTGTGCATTTCTACACATACTCTACTCAAGGCCAGCCAATCTGAGATAGCCTTTGCGTAATTGGCCTCTTACCTTCTCAACCCTCTCGCGCGAAACAGGCAGCAGCGCGAAAGCCGATTTTCTTAGGAAAGAGCGCCCGAGGCCGAAGCTTTTCCGAATGACATCAACATTCACATGTCAATCCATGTGCATCTTCGAGGGGCAGGCACGCGGTAGACAATCTGCGCCCAAACTTGCCATATCTCCCTCAACATGGGCAATTCATCGAGCACGCCCAAGGTGTCCGCCCAGGATAGGTCAGCCACCATGTCCCTGTCTGCCGCCGCGACTAGTCTTCTGACCCCCACCANNAGGGCTATCCTTGACATGAAGAACCAGCGCGATAAGCTGCACCAATACCAGAAGCGCATCACCATCATTACCAATCGCGAGAAAGAGATTGCCAAAGAGTGTTTGCGCAATGGGGACAAGAGACGCGCTTTACTTGCCTTGAGGAAGAAGAAGTACCAAGAGTCATTGCTCGCCAAAACCGATCAGCAGCTCGCCCAACTCGAAACTCTAACGAGCGACGTCGAGTTTGCCCTCGTGCAAAAAGACGTTGTCTTCGGCTTACAGCAAGGCACAAAGGTCCTGAAAGAGATACACAGGGAAATGGGTGGTCTCGAGCGCGTCGAGCTCATCTTGGGCGAGAACGAAGAGGCCCAAGCATATCAGAATGCACGTTGCTTCAGTCTCCTCGGCAGCCATACATACATACTGACAGTTCTGCAGGAGATCAATGAGATGCTCGGCACGAGAATGACCAATCAAGAGGAGGACGAGGTCGAGGATGAGCTCGAGGCTCTAGCGGCAGAAGCAAACAAGCAGAGGATGCCGAGCACAGTGGAAGAGGGAGTCATGGCGCCTATGCCAAACGCACCTACAGATACACCCAAAGAGTCGGCAAAGGAACGAGCGGCAAGGCGAGCAAGAGAACGAGAGATGGACAATGGTCCTGAGCCGATACTCGCATGAGACATGAAGCATGATTGGATGGTGGTGTTCTTTGGTTTTATATGTTCAATACCCATGAGTCTGGTTTTCTTCGATACACACCTGAGCCTTGCATCTGTCTTCCTTACATTGCTGTGTTGTTGGGTTTGTCCTGATTATGACGCACGGACGACAATACCAATGACATGAATGGGCAGCTCCGATGTCCAAAAACTGTCAGTAAACTCGCAAACATGTGAAGACTCCATCAACCGTCCTACAAGACACCACAAGCATCATGTCGCACTGCCACGACGAACACGAAGGCCATGGCCACGGTCACGGTCATTCGCACGGCGCCCACGACCATTCAGACGACATCACTCCCGCCCTGCAAAACAGCCTCTACAGACAGATAGACTTTGACGCCATCAACACGCTGAATGAGAGCGCCTCTGGATCGGGAAGCAAAGTCTGCAAANAGACATGGGACGAGCGGTTGAACCCCGAGCCCGAACTCTGCAGCGATGCCGACGAGCAATTGCTGATGCACATCNCCGTACGCCATCTATCGTTCCCCTTTGACCATCATTGCACTGACATACACGAAAGCTTCACGGCCCAAATCCGCCTTCACTCCATCATGATCCGCACATCTAGCACCGACTCAGCACCTCTGACCCTCAAACTCTTCATCAACCGGGACGACCTCGACTTCAGCACCGCCTCGGAGGTCCAGCCCACCCAAACCCTGTCGCTGTCGCAAAGCAACGACATCCAAGAAGTCCCCGTCAAACGCGCTCTGTTCAACACGGTGCGCTCGCTTGATCTGTTCGTCGAGGACAACTGGGGAAGAGGCGAGGAGGACGAGACACGCATCTCTTACCTTGGCTTCAAGGGCGAGTGGATGGCTCTGAACCGCGAGCCCATCAACTTTGTCTACGAGGCTGCTGCCAACCCGAGTGATCACAAGATGGTCTCTGGCGTTAGGGGCGAGGTAGGCAGTCGTCTGGGAGGAGCAGGAGGAGGAGGAGGAGGTAATGGCATGTAATCACAACGTCGTCTAAGGAAGTGGACAGAGACATCACAACCCGTGGGCTATGATACAATACTGCACTGCTATCGAGTCTGCTACTTGCGTATCTGGTAATACGCAGGCGCGTACTCGGTCAGCCAGCTCTTTTCTATCTTTGTTATGTCTCTGATGAACGTCTTGTCCCCAGTCTGCATGACTTCGTGGAAGATTACCCAGTCTGCCTTTCGGTTCNNTATTCGACTTGTTAGTGCTGCTGTGTCAAGGTGTCGAGAAGCAGAATCACTTACAAACATCAGAGAGCTAGGATGGGCGTGTAATGTCATGCTGCCATCCACTGTCTGGAAAGTCCCATCCGCTTGCATCCTAGCCGCATGCACAAAATAGCCTGCTGTCAGACATCGACGGATCTGCTCTGCCTTGTCAGGGCCTCCCACAGTCAATACACCTTTTGAGCTCAAAGACTCATCCACGTTGATGCCAAACCGCTCCATATACCGCTTGAGCTGATTTCGCACACTGACAGCTTTTGTCATGCTCTTGAAGTTGAGGTGATGATTGCGACACCACGAAGCATCCTTCTTGCCCTTGGTAACAAATGCTTGATACACATTGAGCAATGTCAGATGGTCGCCCTCTGCAACTGCAAATTTCCACCTCGAAGACTCCATGGCCTTCTTCTCCCCTTCGTGCTGAAACCAAAGTGCGCCTTGTAGAGTCGTCATGGCAGCAATCGTTAGCATCTCGCTGAGACACCCGAAATCTGGTGCAGAAAGTAGGACCCTTGCCATCATGGGCTCTACAGCCAGTTCTGCCATGCGAATACCCATCGGTTTAGTCAGTCTTGCATAGTCGTCTAGTGCTCCCAGAGAGTATAGCATTTCCAATGCTCGAATAACAAGCTCTGATGGTGGTGGCGTCAAGTAGTCGAAGCGCACAATGTTATCGATACCCAGACATTTGAGCTGTAAGATTACTGGAGCGAGATTACTCCTTTGAATTTCAGGCACAGAAGCATCATCCAGAGAATCGTACGCAGCTTCCGTATAGAGCCGGTAGCATTTTCCAGACTTTGTTCGTCCGGCTCGACCAGCTCTCTGAGTTGCTGCAGCTTTGGATACCGCAGTAGCTGTGAGAGTTTCGATACCAGTGCTGGGATTGAATGCTCGTAGTTTGACGAAGCCAGAATCGATGACGAAAACGATGCCAGGAATGGTTACTGAAGCTTCAGCGATGTTCGTGGCTACAATGACCTTTCGAGTCTCTTCTGCTGCCGGTTCGAAGACGTACATTTGCTGTTCGGTTGAGAGACCGGCATATAGTGGTAGTGGTTGCAGTGTTTGCGACCCACGAGGTAGAGAGGGCAAGCGGTCGGCGATCATGGACATGCACGTATCGATTTCCTCGCGGCCAGTAAGGAATATCAATATGTCGCCTTCGCCTTCTTGCGTGTGTATGTCGAAGACTGTCTGAACAGCACGTTCAACGTAGTCCTCGGCAGGAGCTGTCAGATAGTGAATGTCAACTGGGAACATTCTGCCCTCGAGATTTACGATGCGGCCAACATCACCACCAGGTTCATCGGTCCTTGTCGAATTCTCTGTGCTGCTTTCATCGCGGGTGAAGAAATCCAAGAAGTCCTCTGCTTGAAGAGTTGCGCTGCTGACGACTATCCTCAAGTCTGGTCGGCGTTTCCTGATCTTCTTCAAGACCCCTAGTAAAATGTCGGAGCTGAGGGAACGTTCATGGGCTTCGTCGACCATAACGACTGAGTATCGAGATAGCAAGGGATCTACGAGTGCTTCCCTCAGTAGTAGACCATCTGTCAAGAACTTGATCTTCGTAGCTGCTGAGGTTACGTCCTCGAATCTGATCGAGTATCCGACCNNTGTATTGGTTAGTGTTTTCAAACACTCGGCAGAGCATGATATAGATACCTCTTGACCAAGGTTGCATCTCATCTCTTCGGCGACTCTTGCAGCGACTGTAGTTGCAGCAACCCTACGGGGCTAATGTTCCTGTGAGTACATGTCATGTTGGATGTTTGCAAAGTCTTAGTACTCACCCACCTGAGTGACAGCAATCATCTTGGCCTCTCCACACCATCCTGCCTGGTGTAGAAACTGAGGAATCTGGGTTGTTTTACCGCTTCCAGTCTGGCCTACAACTATGACAACAGGATATGTCTCTATCAGATAGAGAAGACTTTTGCGATGACGGGCGATTGGCAGTAGAGAAGAAGGCTTGTGGAGGGCAGGGATAAAGTCCCGAGCTAGGTCGAAATCGGCCATAGTGGTGTAGCGTTGTTCAGAAAACCATGACTTGTTTGTGATGGTGTTGGAAATTGGTCGATGACATGATGCTGCAGATTCGCGGTGTGATGGTGGTGGTGGCTTGAAACAGGGTCCACAAGCTGTCGTTACCCCTCGGCTCCGCTGCCTAAACATCATCTTGACTCTGTAACAAACAACACCGCCGACATGTCTGAAGGTTCGCATTCAGAGAAGCCCNGTACGTCTTCATCCCACGCCTCTTCTACACAGGCTGACTCGAATGGCAAGCAGAAAGCGCGCGCCGAATCTCCAACAACAGCACGCGAGCTCGACTTCGACGACGACCACCAAGACAGCAGCCCCCTCAAGAGCCCGACCCCCAAACAGGTCAGCTTCGTCGAGGTCGAAGATGAAGACGCTCCGTCCAAGCCTGCGCGCCCCTTGAGCCCCAAGGCCCAAAACGAAAAGACGCTCAAGGAGGCCTTTCCCACAATCGACGACAAGGTCATCAGTGCCGTCCTGATAGCCAGTGGCGGTAACGTCGAGCCTGCCTTCAACGCTCTGCTGGGTATGTCATTCGTGCTTGTCTTGTAGACCATGACTGATTGCTCGCTAGCCATGTCCGACCCTGACTTCAAGCCTGAAGAGGCTCCACCACCGCGTCCTCCAAGACCTACCCAGGCTCAGCGCCAGCTTGACGCCGACGAGCAATACGCCCGCCAACTTGCTCAGCACTTCCAGTCCGAGTCTCGTCCTCAGCGCACCAGACGAGACGACGATGATCGAGGCCCGCCGCTTCCTAACCGCCCTAGACAGCAGCGTCCAGGTCTTGCCGAGGACGACAGGGAATACAGCTTCTTCGATGGTATCATCACCCCAGCTTTCAATCAGCTGAGACTAGTGGCTGACTCGGCTGCAGATGATCTTCCTCAAATCAAGGAGAACGTGCGCAAGGGTTTCCTGGAGACACAGACAAAGGTCAACAGATGGATCACCGACTTCAGAAAGAAGCTGGATGGAGATGATAATGACGACCCATATGATGGTCCTACCAGACAGGACAGCCCTCCCCGTAGACAGAACTACGGTCCTTCACAATCCGAACAGCTCTACGGCATCCGCAGGTCGGCCGATGTGAGCAGAAAGAGCACAGACAAGGACCGCTACGACCTGGACAATCGCGTCTTGGATGACGACTTTACAGCCCTGGAGCTCCGTGATGATGAAGGTGTGCCAAACAGCCGAATCAGATGAGCGTACATCTACTAACTCTCCAACTAGNCTCAACCTCGTGCTTCATCCTCACGCAATCGTCCTCTCGCCAATCCTGACCTCTACAAGCCTAACGTCGCCCCTCCTCAGTCCGGCCCAGTGGATGAGGTTGATGCCATAGACCGTAGGAACCAGCGCCAACCATCTCCTGGCGCTGCTTCCAAGTCAGCCAAGTGGCAGCCTTTGACATCGATTGCCCCTAATCCAGAGTCGGAAGAGAACGACCCTTTCAGTCTCGGCGACAGTGATGACGAGAAGGAGACAAAGACCAAGGACACTAGAGAATCTGATACTGCGCGTCTGAAAGAGGCCGCTCGCAAGAGCGTGACTGCCGAGTCGGCAGATGCTCCTCAGAAACTCCAGGCCAGCGAGAGGTCTGGAAGCACCAACGTGAGAGACAAGGAGGCCGAGGCTCTCTTGACTGGCAAGAAGCCTGCTTGAGAAATCAATAAATCAGACACCTGATTGACCTTTCCATCTCTCGTACATAGGGGAAAGCGAGAGCAATGCAATCGGTCAGAGAACCTTTTTATGATGTCCTTATCGTATTTTCTTGATTGGCGTTGGCAGGCGTATGGTGAGATTGAGAAGTGCCTGTGCAACAACTTCCCTTCCCTCCAACGTGCCCAATCTCAAGCTCGCAATCCTTCCTTCACGGCTGATGCAAAGTAATATCGTCAACTATAGGAATTCAGGATACCTTTCATGGAAAAGTAACATCGGTTGAGCGTCATAGTCTCATCAGGTTCATTGCAGGCAAGACGTGGTACAAGACTCAGTCTAATAATGTAGAGGTATGGACCGGAGGAGCATGGGCTAACGATTGTGATTAGCACTAATGGACCACTCGATGAAAGGTCTAGATAAAAGCAATATCTCTCCAAAAGACTCTAAAGAAGAAGCCATTCATTGTTATTATTACCCGGGCATATAGACCTTAAAACTGCTACTTGAAGTCTACAAGAATAATACTAGTATAACATATGCATTGGCGAGGATGGAGCTTACAGATGTCAAGCTTCCTCCTTAGCACTTGCATACATGGTACTTGGCTTGACCTTGTTAAACCACGTCCTAGAAGTCTTCTTGAGTAGGTAGCGTTATCACATGTAGCATGCTCCCTCGAGTCTGCTGCCTCTATAATTAGTCAAGAGTAAGTTTGTGGTCGACGTCGGCGCTAAATCCTTCGCTCTTGGATTTTCATCGCTCCTTCCCTAAACCATCGAATACACACCCCGCTCCCAAAGAACAGAATAAGATCTTCAAGCCGCAAAAAGACAGCGTGGTGGATGCCGCAGTAATCTATTTTGGCAACCGAGCACTCTCTGTCATCCTCTCTTTCCCACACAGTTGGGGAGTTGGTCGCTAGAAAGGAAGGAATACGAAGCACGTTGCGCACGACCTCGGATTCCCACCGCAGCATGACTACGCCCTTGCGAGATGGCAAGGGAACTGCCAGATGGCGATACATCACGCACGGTTACAACGGATACTGGTATCTGAGGTCTGCTCTTCGGTGGCTGTCTATCGTCGCCGCCGTGACAGATCTGATCGTCTTTGCCATTGTATACCATGATTGGGCGAGTTATGAAAGGATTCATACCTTGTATTTCGGGCCCGTTTTCTTCATCGTAGCTGTAAGTGACCTGGGCCTCGTTTCTGTTGAAGTCGGCAGCTTTTGGTACATTCGGACGTGTCAAGCTTACAATCATCGATAACAGCCTCTTATATCCTTCCTGACCAGTGTTATCGCGATCGCACTCTTGTTCCTTTCGCGATGGAAGGTGATCATCAATCCTGGATGGCTGCTCTCAATGGACCTCATCACTGGCTTGCTACTAGCTACGGAGCTGGGCTTCAATGGCCAGTACTTTCCGGCACAGGGCCACAGATTATGGTATCCCAACGGGCTAGAACTCCTCCAAATCCCTTATGGATTTAGCTTGGTCTTGGGGATCTTCCACGTTATCCTTTTTCTGTTTGAGATTTGGGAAGTGCATGTTCATCGTCGGATGTCGCGGGAGCAGCGTATCCTCGGCAGCTCTGACGATGCTGAAGCTGGGAATGCTGGTTCCAAGACAAATTCCATTGAGCGAGATGGTGCATCAGAAGATATCGAGCTGCGGAACACCACTAGAACAACGCCAAATGCAGCAGAAATCACAGGCATACCCTCACACATCGAAGCGCCAGATACTCCTTCTTCACGTACCGAACTACCAGAAAACGCTCTAGTCGAAATGCCAGCGGTGCTACCAGGCACGATATTGGTCGAACTCCCTGATGGACGCATCTTGGAACTGCCTGAGGGAAGCCGTGTTGGAAACCGTGTAGAATTGCCAGCTGAGCCCATAGCCGAGCTGCCGGATAATACGAGTAGAAAGCTGCGTATCAATACGCAGCTGGGTGATGGTGAGCCTGATTCGGCGTCCACGACGTCTACTCAGTGGTATGACAGTAGTCCAGTGGCGCCGTCGTATACGACGCAGGAATGGTAATGGTAATATCGGAATATCAAACTGACATTTCGTCATTTTCCTGTGCGTTGCTCGCACGATCTGCAAGGATTCTAGTTTCTACTGTATCTCTTTTTCATGTCTAACGACGAAGTCGCACGAGACTATATGCCCACCTCAGATGACGAATTGGGTCTAGATAGATAGATTTGAAGAAGTCAATATGTAACTTTCGAAATTACAAGAACAGATATATGAACACAACAAGAGAAACACGTCTAGTGGTTTGATGGAAGGTACCACGGACCTCTGCTGTCTCTGAAGACTTCGGTCTCTGTTCCTCCACACACATCTTCGTATCTATGCCAGAACTTGGTCTCGTTTCTTGCACCACCCTTCCAGTCTTCAATGCCCCACCATTGACGGCGAGATGCCGCATCGTAGCCAGAAACAGCAACGGCGCCGATGGGGGACTGGACGTGGACATCGAACATCTTGCGGGCGTACTTTTGGTACCAGATGTTGGCCCACCATGTTTCACGCTGAGAACCGGTGCGTTGGTTGCTCGGGTCATGCTGGATGATGGCTGGTGTGACGCCAGTCCAGGCGTTTGTAAGGAGAGAAACGTTTGTCCAGGACGTGTTGCGAGGAGGAAGAATTTCCCGGCTGTAGGTCCAGAAGGGTGGCAAAGATGCACCAACATCAGGCGCGATTTGACTGATTCGGCTATCGGCAATACCGTGCTTTGCATTTGCTGCGTGCACTGATGCCGCATCTCCAAACCTGACGAATTCCATATCGCCATCGGCATGTGCGGCCTCAAAGGCAAGCCCACTGGCGTAATCCAGACCGATTGCGTATTCTCGTGAGAGGTCGGTCTCTCTCAGCTGCTGAGCCTGTCTGTCTTCGACTGCGCTGGCACTCTCCCAGAATGATGAAAGCCACGATCCAAGACGTGCAAAGGGTGAAGCCGGGGGAATCTTGTAAGATTCACGAGCCATTTCTTGCTCGGCAAAGAGTTGGCCGAGCACCTTACCTTCATCTTGAAGATGCTGGTCGCCCAAGATGCGCTTCGCAGCCGCAGCATAGAGCTTACGCATATCCTTCAAGGGTCCCATGGCAAACCCTGAGCTGATGTATCTTGGACGATGCTTTGCGAAAGAATCTTTGCCCTCCTCGGCTTGCGCGTCAGTCTGGGCTCCATAGATGTTGTTAGGCAGTGATGATTCGGGCACTGCAGAGCAAGCTGGGTCCTCTGCGTTCCAGGGTGAGCAGTCTCTTTGAGCACCGAAGATGATTTTTTGACGAATACTCAGAACGTCGGCATTCGCCCCAAGTTCTTTCCTGATACGCTCATCTGCATCTCTGTTGGATTCAAAGTACCGGTCAAGAAGTGTTTGAGGGCGCAATTGGAACCACGTGTTCAGACCATCTGCTATAATCACAAGATCCTCATCACGGGTTGTTGAGATGTTCCTAAGGTGCTTGTCGATGCCAAGGATACTGGTCTTGCGAGAAATTCGTTGGGCCAAGTCCAGAGTGGAGTCGACATTTTCCTCTTTCTGCTTCTTGCCCGAAAATCCTATCAACATTGGCTCTGGATAATTCAGGACGGCACTGCTAAGAATAGTCTTGCAGTAGTTGGCATCAGCATATCCCACAGGATAGACCATCCGGAGGTAGGCTGGAGGCAACAACGTCTCCTTCGAGGAAACGATTGGTTTAGCAGAGTCATGACCACCCTGTATTGTTAGATTGGTTGGGGGCAAGGCGAGAGGTATGCGAAGTCACATACCGAAGACAAAAATAGGAAGATGGCGAGAAGAGACCCGAGGATTATCGCCGGTCTCAGAAGTCGTGATCGCTTGTTGGTGGTGTGCTCCTTCTCAAAGCCATCCTCGGGGTGGCCAACCGGTTCATAATTTGGCCCACTGCTTTGCCATTGCTTCAGCTTATCCATGACACTTTGCACCGGCATCGTAATGGCGATTGGATGGTGCTTGTCGCGAAGGGGCCAAAGATTTGTAAAGGCCGACCAGGACAGAGCAAAAGAATGAATATCGCAAGTAAAAAAACCGGAAAGAATCACAAACCCCCTGGACGGCGGCCTTGTTGGTGGAAAAGAAGGGCAAGAACACTTGCGTTTCGCGCAAGTACGGAGTAGGATCAATGTACTTTAGCAAAACGGCCCACGAGCGCTACCGATTACCCCTTAAAAAAGAATGGCCATAATCGCTAGCAAAATTGCCAGCGGCCGTTCTCTCCGATGTGCATAAGCAGATTACTAGTCCACCCATGTCTGCCCCTTCAGCTGAATAACGCCACTTTTTGATAAGAACGCCGCACCGGAAGCTAGCTTATAGTATAGTATCTACGTATACCTGAGCAGCGGGAAACATTTTCCTTCTCTACGCAGTGCACAAATTGACGTAGAATTACTTAGTGCATTATAGAGATGTATTGGTTTTATAAACTTTAAGCAGCAGCTTCAAAGGCCTTTATACCCGCTAGTTATGATGAAAGGGTACCTTCTTCTTGAGCGTCTTCCGAGGGTATATCTGGTCTTCGTAAACCTTGCAAAGCGAAGTCCAAGAATGCCAACCACCGTTGTCAGCCCATGCTCCTCCTCGTCCTGCCTCTGGATCGCTAGACTCGATCTTATACCACGTCTTGCCTGCAATGGGCTCTTCGCTGATGGGCCGCTCGGGCATTCTTAAGCTGGCTTTGCGAAGCTCTTCACCATCCTGGTAGAACCATAACTTGTCCCACCATAACTCGCGGAGAGCCTTCTCACCAGTGAAGTGCAAGGTGACAGGGGCCAGATCAGTGACGGTGTTGACACAGAGATCGACATCCTCCCATGATTTGGGATATTCCACAGAGCTGTTGGACGTAGGTGGCGAAGCCTCGAATGCAGCATAAGGTGAGAGTGAAGAGGAAATGTCTTTGGCCACCTTGAAACCGTATCTCTCTTGGGAAACATCACCACCCTCGTTCGTTTTGGTTGCCCAGGAGTCACTTGGGCGGATCCAGGCTAGGAATTGTTTGTAGAAAGCCAAAGTCTGGAACATGGCTGAGAAGTAGTCGATTCCAATGTGGTATTCGGTTCTCTGCCCCTCGTGGAATTCGGGAACCTGGCGAGGGGGTTCCTCTTCTGTGCGGAACTCCTCTCGGTATCTTTCCTTAGCCTGACTCTCCAGGAGGTCTTGATCCAGAGACAGACGAGCGAACTCCTGGTCACCAAAGACATTGGCAAAATAGAATTGATCGGAGTCTGTGGTGTGGTTGTTGTGGACAAGGTCAAGAGTAGCTTGGAAGACGTCAATCATGTCCTGGATAGGTCCCATGATTGTTCCTGAATTCAACCATCTCGGCTCGTTGTGTGTCTCTCTGAAATCATTCTCTTCAGGGCCAAATGCGGTTGGGGAGAGACCGGTGTGTGGAACGGCCCAGCATGCGGGGCGACTGAAGTCGATGGGCCAACAGATCTTGTCGGGGCCGAAGATGACGGTAGTACGGTGGTCGCCTCTGTCGAAAGCGTCTTGACCGAAGGCCTGAATGGTTCGCTGATCGTGGTTCGCGTTCATCTCGAAATATCTCTTGAGCAGAACGTCTGGTCGCAGTTGGAACCAGACGTCGTAACCGTCCAGGATGAGGACTAGATCGTCTTCCTTACTGATGGGCTTCAGCCTCTTCATGTAAGCAAGAAGGGTCTCGATCTTGGCGAGATGTTGTTTGTACGGATTGGCTTCTTCATGCGCGCCCCAGTTGATCAGGACGGGAGTAGGGTAGTCGAGGATGGTAGAGGAGAGGAGAAGCTTGCAGAAGTCTCGGTTGCTACTTGTCGCCGGGATGAGGTAGTGGAGACCGGCCTTGCCATTGCTGCTTGATGATGTGGAGAGTGTGGAGGGGGTTGATGGGTTCTGTTGCCGTGGTAAGAAACTAGGGTCGTAATGAGCCTGGAGGGCACTTACTGTGGTGCTGATAGAATTGACTAGACCATTAACTGAATGGGACGCTGTGTGTGTAAAGAGAGTGATTAGAGTTACGATCACGACAGCAAAACCAAAGATCCACCTCGGTTTCAGGATAGAGCGACCCATATCACTGTATGACATGTCGGACCTCGACAGCGAAGGGAAAGACATGGCGACAGCAAGAACAAAAAGAAGGATACGCACTCTCAGAGGCGCATGGGAGGTGTGCGTAGGATGCAAGGGATCAAGTTCTGAAAATCCCAAGAGCACCCGGCGGATTGTGGATAAACCCCTGGGCGGAAGTGGTACTCGGAGACTTGTCAGTAGATGATTGAACAGAAGCTGGTCGGGGCTCGCTATCGCAGCAGCATTAGTAGCGGTCGAGCTGAGATGTGGATACTCCCACTGACAGCATTACACGGCGGCGTCTTGGACTTCATCTAAACCCGCAGACAGGAGATAAAAAGGAGCCCGGTGCATCACGCCGGGACATGCCAAGCCTTCAATGTCCAACGAGGGCCAACAGGGGTGGCTTGATGTCGAGTCAATCAGCGCGCCAAGCCGAAACCCTCAAGCCTTGCCACACGAGTATGTAGTTCTACTCCGAGTAAGTTCACCTTGTTGGTTCTTGTTCCCGACCTTCCTTCGCAGTCGTGCTCCGTCCATGCCGCAGCCCTGTCGCCAAGGATGCGGTACGAAGTATATCATGCCATTTGTCGGCTTTGTTGCATCTGCTCGTCTGACGAGCCGGCTTTGACGTGCCGTTCAATCGCTGATCAGAGAATCGTGTGGTGCGCTCCAAGCATGAAGCGCCCCGAGGCGTTTGTGTCCGCCGATGGCTTGAGTACTGGTACTCGTGCCAACAAGCCTTTCCCCTTTCCGCGCGGGTCACAACCGGGCTCGCCATCGCACAAGGAATTTTTGCCCGAAGATTCGAGCCGACCGACGATCACAAAACGGGGCCCCTGGTTCCGGCATGCACGTCAGGGCCAAGAGCGGCGTGCCCGACTCAAGCGAGGGGATATCTCCTTATCGGTTTCCTGTTATTAGTGTTGCCCATATTGTTATTTACTTAGTCTTCGTCTTGCTCCAGATTCTTCTTCGTTGCCCTCACACTCTCTCCCTTACATTCTTTCAAGCCCGGACTTACACTACATAATGAGCCCCGTCAAGAGTGTTTGCTTTATTGGCGCCGGCTTTGTCGTGAGTTAATCTTATCTGAATACGAGCTGCCACGAGGCGATCTACCGGGCATGGCTGACAAGACTTCCTATATCTCAGGGCGGTCCCAGTGGTGCAGTCCTTGCACTCAAGAATCCCGACGTCGAGGTCAGCGTTGTCGACTTGAGCGATACTCGTATCGCAGCATGGAACTCGGACGCCCTCCCCATCTACGAGCCTGGTCTCCTTCCTGTCGTCAAGGAGGCACGCGATGCTGAGGTCCGCCCCCAGAACCTCTTCTTCACCACCGATGTTAGGGGCACCATCAAGCGTGCCGACATCGTCTTCATCTGTGTCAACACACCCACAAAGACGGCCGGTATTGGCGCTGGCAAGGCACCCAACATGGCCTACTTCGAATCTGCCACCCGTATGATCGCAGCCGAGGCCGAGAAAGACACCATCATTGTCGAGAAGAGCACCGTTCCTTGCAGAACTGCAGCCAACATGAGAGAGATTCTCAAAGCTATTGGCAAGCCTGGCGTCAACTTCGAGATCCTCTCGAACCCCGAGTTCTTGGCCGAGGGTACCGCTGTGGCCGATCTCATGCGACCAGACCGTATTCTGATCGGTTCAATGCAAACACCTAGCGGTCTCGAGGCAGCAGAGGTCCTCGCAAACCTTTACGGTAGCTGGGTACCCAAGGAGAACATCTTGAAGACAAACATCTGGTCCTCGGAGCTTGCCAAGCTCGCTGCCAACGCGCTGCTGGCTCAGCGTATTAGCAGTATCAACGCCCTGAGCGCAATTTGCGAGGCCACTGGTGCCGATGTTGGCGAGATTGCATATGCCGCAGGCCTGGACAGCAGAATTGGCTCGCGCATGCTTCAGGCCTCGGTCGGATTTGGAGGTTCCTGCTTCCGCAAGGACGTACTCAACCTTTCCTACATGGCTGAAACTTTGCATCTTCCTGAAGTTGCTGCTTACTGGCAATCTGTTGTCGCTATCAACGAATGGCAGAAGTCCCGCTTCACCAAGCGCATCATCTCAACCCTGTACGGAACTCTGACTGGCAAGAAGATTGCTGTCTACGGTTTCTCATACAAGAAGAACACTGCCGACACTCGTGAGAGTGCTGCCATCTCTGTTGTCAAGGACCTCATCGCAGAGCAAGCCAAGGTCTGCATCTACGATCCTCAAGTTACCAAGGCACAGATCTGGGAGGAGCTCGACATCAATGGATGCCACCTGGAAGACGTCGAAAAATATGTCTCTATCGCGCAAAACCCCTACGACTGTGCTTCCGAGTCTCACGCCGTCGTTGTCCTCACCGAATGGGATGAATTCTCCAACAAGGATGTCGTCCCTGCTAAGAAGACTGCCGGCGAGAACCCTCAGCAATTATTGCCCAGCCCTGTCGCATCAGAGCACTCGTCTGACAACGAAATGGAAATGACACCAGCGGACAAGTCTGCACGCGAGCGCTACAACCCCAGAATCGCCATCAAGCACACCGAGGCACAAAACGCCAAGGTCGACTGGGAGCAGATCTTCGATATCATGGAACGTCCAGCATTCGTTTTTGACGGCCGTAGAGTGATTGACGCCGGCAAGCTGCAACGGTTGGGCTTCCACGTCGAGTGCATCGGCAGAGGCAACCCTTTCTAAATTCCCTAAAGGATTCTGGCATTCCTTTTTCTTATTTCCTCCTCGGGGCATGATCTGGCATGATTTCAAAACTAGAGGGCACTTCTGGGAGTTTGGTTGGGTGGGTTTCATCATGTCTATACTTACGTTCTTGTAATTTTTCCGATCAATCTAATCCAGCGCCATGCGCTTGAAATGACTGCAACACCTATCCCGTTCTTCAATGTTGGTGACGCGTGTTCATGAACCCGCAAGGATATGATAGCTGTAAGCGAACGAGCATCACCAGTCGCGTTGTCGATCCTCGACACCCGTCGGATGTGTGTCTGGTCTGAATCAAGATGCACATTCTCGTGGTTTGTATTGCTCTGCATCAAAGAACAGCACATACGTGGACGTGGTCGTGCTATACGACATCCGATACGGCGCTGCCACTCAGGAACTCGAGATCCATGCTCCATCCCGACAACCGAGAAGCGCGGATTGTGAACTGCCGCTCGTGGTTGGGCGGACATTCATTCATGTATGTCCGTATCCGATTGATACCCAGCAATCTGAGGTGGCTCTCATTAGCCCTCGGGGTGGATGCCAGCCATGAACGCCAACAAGCCGTGGCGTCTGCCGACAGTGGAGATAGGACTGCCTATTCTCCGAACGCGGCAATGACAAGACCGGACATCCGGGCGCATACGTGGACTTGCATATCAATCGATTCCATCTCGTGGTTTCAGACTTCATAGCGAGTGCTTGTGTGTGCTTCATGTCCGGGTGGTTGGGCAGCTGGGCTTGTAGGATCCCCTATAGGAACGTTTTGATATATTGATAGGACTTTGACTTTTTGAACACACGTGAGAATGCCGATCTTGAGCTTGACTTGTGTTTCCACTTCTCGAAAGTCAACATTCTCAAACAAAAACCCTGGAGCCCTTGGTGCTCTGGCGCAATCTCCACAGACCCCACCGTGATAGGCGATGTCGAGATGTTTTTCCGTGCGCAGATCCTTCACCTCTTGGCCTAGGGTATCAATGATCTTGCAGGTGTGATCTATCTCCTTTCCAACGGACAATAACATATAGCTGAGTTGGGACACAACGGTCAGGAAGTTTCGAAACGGCGTAAGCTGGAGGAGGCAGCACGTTGGACTAGACGGCCTGTCAAGAAATGAATGCTAATTAGCCCCTTGTTAACCGTCGGCTTCAGGCCTGATGAGAGGCCTGGTTTGAAGGATGTTCCGTTGTGATTACTCTATTACCTGCTTGGCAGTGGACGCTTTGGAGAGGGGCGGCTGCACGCGGCCCCTTCGCATGACACGGCTACGTAGTTTGTAGACGGGCTCGGAGCAGGTTATCTGATGATATATTAGCCAGGGTGGGCTGTCTGAGGCGTGCGAGATAGTTTTGCATTACATCGTCTCTCGTAGCGGCCGCGTATTCTCCTTCGTCACAGCTTCATTTGTTCCATTCCTTTAAACTTTGCCGCATACCTCGCTACAGCTATCCTCGGCGACGGGGCCCCTTTTACCAACTACAGTCATGGCTTCCCTCTCGGAGAAGCGACCACAGTCATCCATGGACGAGTCCGAGTTCGGCGACATCAATGAAGAGCAGCGCCAGAAGCTGCTGAGATACGACGACGACGTCGAGAAGCAGTCAATGGTCGAGGAGCAGACACAAGCAAAGAGCGCACAGGATGGCGCCGAATACTCCGTCTCGACTCGGGTCAAGATGATCTGTCTGGGACTATACTTCGCCATGAACCTGGGCCTCACGCTATACAACAAGGCCGTCCTCTCCAAGTTTGCTTTCCCCTGGCTCATGACCACATTACACGCTACATGCGCGGCAATCGGATGCTACACGCTCCTGCTCGCAGGCCACATCAAGCTTTCGTACCTCACACGACAAGACAACTATGTCCTGGTGGCATTCTCTGTCCTCTTCACAATCAACATCGCCATCTCAAACGTCTCTTTGGAGATGGTCTCTGTTCCTTTCCACCAAATCGCCCGCTCGACCTGCCCCGTCGCAACTATTCTGATCTACCGCTGGTTCTACGGCCGCTCCTATGCAAAGGCCACATACATGGCTCTGATCCCCATCGTGCTCGGTGTTGGACTTAGCACATACGGCGACTACTACTTTTCTCTCGTCGGCGCATCTCTCACCTTCCTTGGTGTCTTCCTTGCCGCTATCAAGGTATGCTTTCGAATATAGTCCTTCACATGCCTGTATCCTTACTGACAATCCTACTAGACTGTCGCAACCAACCGTCTCCTGACCGGTAGCCTCAAGCTCCCTGCCCTCGAACTACTTTTGCGCATGTCTCCCCTCGCCGTCGCACAATCGCTCGTCTACGCATACTGCACCGGCGAAGTCACTCGTTTCGGCAATTTCGCCGCTGAAGGTGGCCTCACCTCTTCCGTCATTCTCGCCCTGCTCGGAAACGGCATCCTCGCCTTCATGCTCAACGTCACCTCTTTCCAAACAAACAAGCTTGCCGGTGCTCTGACATTGAGCGTCTGTGGCAACCTCAAGCAATGCCTCACCATCCTCCTCGGCATCGTCCTCTTCAACGTTCGCGTTGGACCCGAGAACGGCGCTGGTATGTTGGTCACCCTTCTCGGCGCTGCCTGGTACAGCAAAGTCGAGTTGAGCGTCAAGAAGCCCGCCCCGAGATCATGAGCTTTTCCTTTCACCTTTTCCTTTGTCGCCTAAACCATATCATCGCATACATGACTGGCGTTTCATCTTCTTTGGGAATCTTCGGGAATATCACCATTTTAACCACATACTTGAGTATCCATCAAGTTAATGTATATATATAACCTTCTTTCTTTTCTTCTTTCGTCGCTCTTCCAACAACGGTATAGAGCGATTTGTGTAGCTATAAGAATACACGATACTTTCAAGAAACAGAACAATGTCATGACACCTACTGTGTTTCTCTCTCGTTGCCACAATCATAGCAGCCCAGCCATACTGTCTTGAAAGGCGCCCAATAGTGCCAAAGTCATGCGTATTCCCCTTCAGTCGTAAGCACGCATCGTCTCGTTTACCTCTACCATCTCAGCAAAGCCTTCGATCTTTGTCGTGTGAGACCAAGGCTTGCATATCGTCTCCTTCCTAACGGTAGCAGCGAAACAACCAGTCCAACCCTCTCTAGGCCAAGCCTTGACAACATTTTCGATCGTGTCCTTGTGCACCAACTCTGGGTTCGCACCGGCGTTGTCGAGCAACGTAGCAAAGTGTATCACGGCGGTCAAAGTGGTGATGTTGCCAGTCTCGCCCACATCCTGATGCCTGATGATAGTCTCACACACTGACTCGGCGGTGGATTGAGGGGCACCGTGTTGGGTCAAAAGATTCAGTGCTTGGATGCCACCTTGGAATTCAAAGCTGAGTTGTGTGGAAGACATGTTGGCTTCTGTGGTGCCAATGTCGTGGAGGAGGCTGGCGAGCAAGTAGGTCTCTGGGCTGCAGCGCCATTCGGGAAAGTGCTGCATGGCGATTGCTTGGCCTNNGTCATGTGTCATTGTGTCAGTGGTGTAACCGCATCGAACGGCATCGAGTGATGTCGGTGGATCTGTTGACACACCGAAGTAGTAGACGCGCATGCTGTGGCTAAAGGTCTGCTTGGGCAGGTGATCTCTCGCGTGTTTCATGACAATATCCACGACAGGGCTGCTGGGTAGTGGCATGTCCTCGACTCGAAGCGGTGTTGCCTTTGAGCTCGGGTTCTTGCGATTGGCGAGCAGCTTTTCGAGACTTCTTGGGACTGCACTCCAGCCATTGTCTTGGATTGTTTTTGACATGATCAATGCTTCTTGTAGGTGATGGTCAATGGAACAAAGCTGAAGCTAGTGATGGAAGCTGTGCTCGACACTCAGTGTCAGTGATAGTGTGCTCCGCCTTATATGGCTCGTGGCTTATGTGAGCACAGTGACTGGTGCGCAGACGACTCGCAATCTGTGCTCCGCTATCGTCGTCTTTCCAAGGGCGTGGACCTCGTCAGATGCCATCATTCCGGTAGCTAGATTACCCCACGCTTGATGTCAGCCCCACCTTCCATCATGTTTCAGATGTCAAACATCTTCAAAGCTCCCTCCTATCACACATGGGAAGCATCATCTTCTAATAATGGCAGTCATGTACTCAATCCTTATTCGATGTAAAGCTCCTACTCAGTGACACTTCTTCATGCCTTGATCTCCCAAATGTCGAGGTTCTTGCCTGCCTTGTTCTTCCTCTCGCGCTTGCCCTGGTTCATCTCGTTCAGCTTCAACATAGTCTCACTAGATTGAGCAAACGCAATGACCAGCTCGCGCATACGTCCAGCCTCCAAAAAGCACTCTGCCAGACCCGTCTTGTCGTTGGCAACATCGTTTGCCAGCTCCATACTTCGCAGGAGATGATCACGGCTGATCATGTGAGCGCCCGCACAAAGGACTGCGTTGTATGCGAGTACGACCTCGGGAAGGTACCAGTTGCGAATCTTGACCAAGTCGGCGGCTTCATCGTCTGCTTCAAGGTCAGTTGGGCTCCAAGCTTCGAGAAGCGTGTTCATCGTACCATCCTTGGCATGCATGAGTATACCACTCAACACAGGCTCGATCGCAGCGCAGGTGTTCTCAAAGGTTGCCTTGACCTTAGCCGGCAGCGAACTCGGTCGTGGAACCTTACTAGATTCGCAGTCAGTACGGCGAGACATTGGCAAACACGCTGATACATACGTGGCATAGTCGTGCTCCACTGTCCTCCAAGCATCAAGAGCATCAACAGCCTTCACCAGCAAACTGAGCTCATAGTATCCTCTGCATTGTTTTTGAAGGACGCGTAGCTTCGTTGCGTGTTCGACGTCTTGAGGAAGTAATGAAGTCTCCTCACGATCCATCACATTGACCGATGTCCCAAGAACAAGTCTCGATTTTGCTGTACACAATAATTCGAAGGACAATTGGTCAACCAAGCGGGAGGCTTCTTGGAAGCAGCCATTGACNTATAGACATCTTTAGCACAAGAGATCGTCAATTCAAGACGTTTGTAACTTACGAAGCAGCTTTCTGCAAGCATATGCAAGAGTCTGGAAGGAGACATCCCAATGACCCTCCATAAGATGAAAGACGGCGAGATGGTCAGCAATACCTTCACCACCGTTTCCTTCTTCCACAAAGTTCAGCTTTATTCTTTGACCAGGATAAAGATCATCTTTGGTGCTCTCAATGATCTTCAGGTTGCCCCGCCCAGCGGGCTTCTTGGGCAGAACTTCATCCATGAGATACTTGGCCTGTTCGATCAAGACGGCGACAGGATCGATACCGTATGTAGACATGAGCTTGGTGAAGTGCATCTTGTCTTGAAGGTCTTGTACGTCTGTCATGGTTTGTGCAAGGGACTTGGTACCACGGATAGGTGACATTCTCGATGCGTATACTGATGTGAGCTCCCATCTGCCAGCAGCGCGCAGAAGTTGGATGTAGGCAGCGATGATGTTGTCGAGAGCTTCGGGGTCGGACTTTGTGTCTGAAAGGGGCTCGTGGAACTCACGTAGCATCAGAACCATGTGGGTGATAATACGTAGAGCGTCATAGTCGTTGAAAATGACACTCTCTCGTTGAGAATCTGGAGAGACAGCGGTACGCAGAGGAACTATAGTGGTCGAGGTGGTCTGATACCAAGCAGCGTCTGAGATGGCCGTTGCAAGATTGTTGCACAAGTCAGCAAAGTTGTCTGCGATGAGACTACCTTGCAGTAACTTGAGAGGCTTTCTGGCGTCTTGCGAGGTGGTGGATTGCTCATTGAGACGCCTGATCAAGTTTCGAGCGACGTCCTGTTGGTCGCCATGATGTCTGAGAGAATCGAAGAGCGGGAATCTGGTGGCAGTTCCTGATGCAAACTTCTCTGGGAAGCTCTTTTGCAGATAGTCTTCCAGCTGTCCGATCAGAAGGGAGTTGTAGTGAGCAAAGATGTAGTCATCCCAGCTCTGGCACACACGCTTGACTGAGTCCAGATCGCCACTGAGCACACCGTAGACGGCGGCTTCGTACTCGTCCAGACCTGTTTGCTGTGTCAAGGCGTAGCACATACGACGCCAAAGCGAACCAGCCGAAAGACCCGGAAGAGCCATGTCCTTGTCTGAGTCGGAAGAGACAGCCATGCTAACAGCGCGCCAGCTTTGATTACGCTCAGAGCACCATTGGCAGATGTCGTGCCATGAGTATCCGCGCCTTAGCATTTCCCAGCAAGTCATCCAAAGTGCTCTTTCTGAATATTCGTCGGCCTTTTCCAGCACACGGTACTGACGGGTCGGTGCATCTGGGTCCAAAGAAGATACCAGGGGTTCGTTGCTGTGGGTGCGCTTCACGTCGAGCATATCGGAAGAGGCAGTCGAGAAGACGCGCATTCTTTTNGTCCCCTTGATCCTCTCACGCGTCTCCATCCAGCCATTGAACCAGATTCCCGTTCCTCTGCCTGACTTCTTTTCCAGCTCTTCAGCAATTGCCTCGATGTCACTCTCGCCATGGTTGGCAGCTCCTTGTAACCATTTGAGAACCAGATGCCGTTCTCTGGCTGAATCGTTGTCCAGAGTAAAGCGTTCCCAGATGTCCGAGTCGGATGTGTATGTGTTTGGTGCTCCCATGTCTGCTAATCTTGCTTCCTTCTCTTGCTGGAGAGTCTGCTTCTCGGGAGAGTATCGTAGCTCGAGCATGATACGGAACAGCTCCCAGGTATCGAGTTCGGCTTGCCATTGTCTCAGTGTGTCGAGCGAGGTTTGTGCGGGAATGTCTTCGTCGCCATCGTTGTGGGTGACGGGTCCTACTGCGCCAGAGAGGCTGGAGCTTCTTATGGGTGATTGGGTGATTCTCTTGCCGAATTCGTTCTTCATCTCGGTTACGCGCTGAGCATCGTGACGTTTCTTCAGCTTCTTGACCATGCTGCTCGCAAAGTCCTTGTACTCCAGAGTCAGGTCAATGGCGGTACGGTATGCATCTTGGCCATGCAGACGGGAGTTGAACTTGTCGAGAGTCTCTGCAAAATGGTCGACTTCACGGCCGACGCGGTCGGCCATGTCGCGCAATGGATTGATTTGATCGATGAGCTGACTGGTGGGCACGAGGGCGCTCGCATTGTTGTCGAGGTCCTGGAAAGGTCGAGTTAGTGGTCAAGTCGAGGCCAGGAAAGTGACAGGAAAAGGCACCTGTGAAGTCGAGTGGCCGTATGTGCGAGTAGCGTCGGCAAAAGAGTTCGTGTTGGTTTGGGAGCCCTGTGCAGTTCACACGAGAGTCAGAGCTGGCGCACAGAGAATAGCTTGTGGTTGTACCTTGCGATGGACGGGCTTGAATGCGCCAGAGCTGGCCGTTTTCCTGGTCACGGGCGCCATGGTGCTTGCGCGCTCTAGCAGTTCAATTGATTCTGAATAGCTTTGCAATTGATGAATAGCAGTGCGCTAGGAATTTTGTTTCCTTGTGTTGCTTGACAGATAATCCACATGCGACTGATCAGTAGAATCGGCAAGAGCTTCCAAACATTCAATCCGCGTTTCCATCACGCCAAGACTTGATCAGCATCGGAGCTCTTCAACACAAGACTCATTCAAGTCTTCACTCTCACTCTCAAGTTCTTACGGCTGTGTGTGTTCTCATAGCTAAACATCTGACATACTCTCCGTACGAGGAGGGGAGCAAATAAACACCAACACAACGAATCACGAGCTGCTGATTGATAGAGTGTGTTTCATAACGACTAGTCAAGAGTACGCCATCTGTACAAAATATGCTATCGACAAACGAGAAAGTCCAGACAATACTCATATTCTTGACTTCTACTGCAGGAACTTCTTCTTCCAACCACTGAGCTTGCCACGAAGTCCACTGCTCTTCCGCTGCGGCACAGAAGGGCGGCTCTCCTGCATTGGCTGCTGCTGTCCGTTTTCTTGAGGAGCAGGAGCAGACTCTGGAGCCGAAGCAGGCTCCTTCTGTTCCTCCACTACTCTACTAGCTGTGGCAGGAGGTGAATCTCCGACGTAGGCATTGTTACCTCCTACAGCGATTGTGAAGAGGGCAGGTGCGCCGTCGTTGACCTTGCCAGACTGATCTGCTCCTCCTTCTGGCTGCACATCGTCGTACGCAAACCCATAACCTTTCTTGTCGAGGTTACGCTCGTGCACAATACGACAGTAGTGGTTAGTGGGATCAGTCTTGTAGTAGGTCGAGGGATCTGACGGCTGCTGAGTTTGAGACACTAAGGTGGTACGGATGAAGCCAGCAGCAAGACGAGGTATGATGGCATTGCGAGTCCCATTGGGCCCAGTAGTGAAAGGACCGCTGTTGCATCCGAAGATGTCTGCTGTGTTTGGCTTCTGGAAAGATTCCTCGCCAATGAGCAGTTGACCATTTGAGACCTTGCCATCAAGAACACCTGGGCCTGCCTGGGTGTCGAGCTTGAACGCTCTAGAATCACTGCTGTAATAGTTCCACACGTCATCGACATAGGGCTCGTAATACCCTGCGAAGTTCGCTCCAACAGCATCTCCGTGAGATGGATTGAGAACACGGAAGTTCTGTCCATTTTCCTGGACGATCAGTTTGTCCCATGGCTTTCCATCCTTCTGTGCTTGGGCCTTCAGATCGGCGCATACTAGCTCGAGTCCATTTGCAGCCATGCCCGATACATGCTGTATTGCGCCAGCCGAATTCTTCAAAGTGATGGCAATGGGAACGTTCGATACAAAGTCGACATAGCTGATGTTCGCGTACAACTGAGCATCGTTCAGTGTGAATTCGCAGAAACCGAAGTTGACCTTTGCATTTGGATCGCTAGGGTTGAGTACAGAAGGCTCGACAAGAGCTGGTCCGGGGTTTAGAAGGAAGTTCAGCTTGCTGTCGATTGAGAACCAGACACGACCACCGGCAATCTGAGGCACAGTAGCGGTGACGGTGTTCCCTGGCTTACCGAGTGGTATGGCACAGTCTTCTGCTAGCGGTGATCCTACTGCAGGCGGGTTATCTGGAAAGTAAGGAGTCTTGCCGTCTGCTTGCAACAGTACACGCCTCCCATCAGCGATGTTGATGCCTGTAACATAGGCCCAGACATTGCTTGAATTGCTGTTGTTGACAAGCTCAAAGGGTAGAGTTGCAACCATGATGAAATGAGGTAGAAGTTGGTTGAGAGAACGAGTTATGAGTGAGGAAGCATATGAATTGCCCAGAATTACCTCTCTTTATATACAGCTTCTTTGTCTGGTGTGTTGTCGTGAATCAAATACAGACTTACCAGAAGCCGAGACGAAACAACAAAAGCGCTGGGGAGTGACGTCTTCATGCCAACTTTCTGCAGCCAATCTCGGCCTAGAGAAGGAGTTTTTAATTTACTCTTCACCCATCTTTGTTCGCCATGTCTTTGGCGAAAAACGCGTCGGCATGTGCTAGCAGTATTCGACACAAGGTACATGGCCGTTGGAAGAAGGAGAGTCGCTCTGTTGCAGGCTGAGGCGCAACGCCCGAATGAAGTACACAGGGCTGCAGGTCATGTGGAAGCGTCAGACTACACACGTTCTCTGCCCTCCTTTTGGTAACGATCTGAAAGTCTCGTTCTCTGTTACGAGGGAAGACCATCCAATCTCTGGTCAACCGTAGCCAGAGTTCGTGAGAGAAATCACAGCTAGTCTATGTGAGCGACTCTCGATGATCAAAGCACTCTGTGTTTCACAAGTAACCATCGACGCTCGATACGATACTGCTATCCTTCGTCTCTTACGAAAGCTACGAACCGTGAATACATTGACATGAACAAACATCTAGATACTCACATGCGCAGCGAGCCTACTGATCTTTCTTCGAACATCACAAGACCTAGACATGAGCAAGGCTAGAACCGAAATTGCGCGGCAACTGACATCTGCACATGATTAAGCTTACCCTCAGGGTATCAAACCACTAGAGAAGTAGCAATGACGGTCGAAGAAGCATTGATGTATGAGAATGATACCCGTTGGTGTGGTACCGACAAAGCACATAAGACAGGGTCGCCCGCGCCTCATGAGTTTAAATCAACTTTTATGAGCAAATCAAGCACAAGCACTGCCTGTCAAGTAAGAACACGATATAGGGAGGTTCATAGGATCTAGAACTATGTGGCAAGGGGTTAGATAGTGTTTTAAATGCCGCTGTTGGCTGCTAGGCTTCAATACGAGCACTTCTTCGAAAATTACCATCAGCTTCAAATCGAACCACTATATCTGATATGCTTTCCCCTATGGTTCACCACGCAATTGACTGATCATATACTAAACAAGATCCAATCAAGATACATAAGCAAATACGGTGTAGAGATTATGACCATGCTGCATCAGCGATGGCGCCCTGGAGTTGAGACATTACCAATCTGGCTTCACCCAATGTTCTGGCAGGCGAAACAACAGCACTTTTGACGATTAACACAGCGAACAAAGGCACCCAAAGTCACGCAAGGGCACCTCTACTGCCAAAAAGAAGATCTCTCAGGGCAGCAACAAAATATTTTGCTCTCCATCAGGGAATCGAACCCTGGTCTCCCGCGCTTGACGAGATGTGACTCTTGACAAGCGGAAATCATGACCACTAGACCAATGAAGATAAGCTAGCTGTGCTGCTATTGGTTGGTGATGCGGACTTGATCATTTACGAATACAACAACTTTAGCAAAGAGACCTCGATCGAAAGTTGACGGATCTCGTAGCGCGATTGACAACTTTGTATAGGTATAGCTCTATTGTGGTAACGACTGTATAGTCTCACAGCTTCATCATAGCTCTTCGTACTCGTGGAGGCGAGAATGAACCCATCCCTAGCAGAGTATTTTGCAATCAGTATAAACAGCATCATCGCGTGGCTGGGCAAAAAACACGACGATGACACGCTCGCGAGATTCGATCTCGCCAAGTCTCAAACCTAATCTCACACTTACGATACCAGATCGGGCCATGATATCGATTTTCCTCTTGCAGATCCAGGAACCATGACGCCTTTGACATGTCCTTTCCAGAAATGATATCAATGACGAGCGCGAGATGCTCACGGTAGGTCGAGCGCGTAAAGTGGTTTTCGTTCTTAAAGGTCGCGTTGTTCGTGCTGCCATTGAGTTGGTAAAAATATCTTTCTGTACTGTCCACTCTCTATCGCATCACTTGTTCACCTAAGCTCTCCTCTTTTCGTTGATCTGTACCATATATCATACACCATGTCCTCTTCAGCAGGACGTAGGACGAAGCCGGCTCATGTCCTTGACTTTNTTCACGACAAAAACAATGACTCTGCGTTGACAGTTCTCGCCAATGGAGTACGATTTCATGCCTTTGTCGATTTCAAGAGGATGAAGAATGCCGCAGAGGCAAACGACAGGGATGTGGAGGAATACTCGAATCTGGTCAAGATGGTAAAGAATAGCGTACAGAAAAAGCAGCCAAAAGAACCCTGCCACGCATCAGAGAAACCCGAGGCCGGCCATGGAGACGAAGCATTATACTGTGTGTGTCGTGGACCTGACCGAGGCTTCATGATTGGCTGCGACAATTGCGACGAATGGTTCCATGGTGACTGTGTTGGCATCTCCCAAGATGAAGGGTCCTCACTTGATGAGTACACATGCCCCGAGTGTCAAAAGGGCGTCAGGAGTCCTACTGGAGACAGCGGCGTTGTGCTCGAAGACAATGACAAAGCCGAGAACGACTCGGAAGAAAAACTTCAGGCCTGGATACTCTCGCACCTGGAAGCCGAAATCAACGAGTATGCTCCATCAAGGGGTGAGATGCAAACGACCAACGTACACGATTGGTACCACCCCTTAACACACTTCTACGCCCTACAATACAAAGATGGCAAGATCATACCAAAAGAGTTGGAAGAAACACCTGCCCTTCGATTTAAGATGAATAACCTCCTGCCAACCGTCACACTACCAAAATACATCTTGAACCTCGACATTCCCCGATTCCAAGCGTCAGACTTGGAAATCGTCGAGAATGTCGGTCCCTTACCTACCCTAGTCCGCCACAAGGATAATCTTTACTTCCTCAAGGTCGTTGACCTGACTCAACCTGGACCAACGAAACGCGAGCTCAAGATCATGAAAGACATCGAGAAGCTGGAATTGCACAAGGAGATACGTGTACCTCAAGTTCAAGGACTAGTGTCCTTCCCAAACTCCAATACCGACATCATGGGATTCTTGCAGACACACATCGTAGGAGCCGAGCCACTGACTCACCTCCTCGACTCAGACGTTCCTCAGGCGAAACGCGATCGTTGGGCGGCAGAGTCCGAAAGGATGATCAAGCTTCTGCACGATCACGATATCGTATGGGGTGACGCCAAAGCCGACAACTTTATGGTAGACAAGGACGATGACCTGTGGATCATCGACTTTGGCGGTAGCTACACAGAGGGATGGATAGATCCCGAGCTGAACGAGACGGTGGAGGGCGATGACATGGGGACGAGAAAGATTGTCAACGCATTGCATGATCCAGATGCAAACACCTTTGACCTTGACGACACCACAGCCGCTGAGGAGAACAATGTCAAACGCAAGCACTGTGAGACAGAAGAGGAAGAGGGGCATGCTGACAAGAAAGTAAGAGTTGAATGAGCATCTAGTCATCACGGACTTTGTGCATTGCATTGGGTGGTGTTGGGTGTACTAGCATCGAATGGACCAGGATTCTTCTAAGAACAAGGGGTTAGCACTAGTTTCGTTATGAGATACATTGAGTTGCTTCTCGATGAGAATTCTAAGTAAAAGCACAGTCATACGTCGAGCCATATGCAGCCTTGGGAAGCTTGAGAGAAATCCGACTTGCTACAGCGGTGCATTTGAGACGACGAAAGAAAAAGATTTGGAAAGGAGAGTTGTAGCAGCAATCGGTCGTGTGTATGTATCTATACAGTAAAGTCTATTGGGTATCGATGAACTCCGTCTATGCCGTCTATGGTTCCGTTTATGATGCGTCTAATGCTATGATAAAGTACAAGAATAGTCTAATTTCGTGAAAGAGTTGAGTGCGTGAGGTAAATGTGAACATGGAGATGGAAGAATGAAGAGAGGTGTCGGCCTCATGACTTGTTCAGTTGTCCAGCAACGTCCAAGTCACGGCGCCAGAGTCAGTGACAGCGGTGACTGTGAGGGGAGGGTTGGCACCACTGTCAACAGACTCGAAAGTGAAGTCGAGGACTTTGCCAGATATTGAGCCAAGGCTGGTAGGAAGACGCTTGATCTGGTATTTGAACTCCTGCTCGGCCTCGAGCTTTTGTAGAAGAGGATGTTGTGGCTTGAGGGTCTCAATCAGCTTCTCAGCAGACGGCAAGCGGTAGAGGAACACGCGGTTTGTTGAGGGAGATGTGGGAGTCGAGGATGAGTCGTTCTCCGACATGGCCAACAGGGAGTTGTTGGGCGATAGGGCGAAATGGGGGTGGTTGATGTGAGCAGAGGGCAGATCATGCCACAAGTGCTGAATGTCCTCGGAAAGGTGAACAGGGAGATCCTCAAGAACAGTGACAGCACGCTCAGCGGTAAGAACGTGACCGTGGACTTCACTGAAAGGGACATAGGCCAGACAGTACGAGCCAGACTGGACATTTGTGGCATGCTTCTGAGCAGCTGCGAGCCAGCCGTTGGCAAATGGACGTAAGAGCTGAAGGCCAGCGAAGCGTTGTGAGACAGCGGGAGCGCCGTCGACAGGCTCTGTCGGCGGCAAGGAGAGCTTTNNGCTGGCATCGAGGAAGGCGTGCTTCAAACCACCCTTGTCTTGCCAATGCTCTAAGCCAGGCTTGCCCTCTCTCGGCGAGCCGAGGTAGACGACGACGCCCTTGTTGCTCAGCTGCACTCGTAGCAAGCTGTCGTTGTGTTCAAAATCAAGGGCGGCAATGTAATGGCCAGTGGCCGAGGTGATGTACGAGGCCACGGGCCACGAGTCGGCGGGTGTGGCTAAATCATAGATTTGGACAGTGCGTTCCAGAGCGATGGCCAGCATGCGTCCGTCAGAAGAGAGAGCCAGCTCGTACATGGACGTCGGTGAGCACTTGAACCATGGACCTCCACCAATGGCTGTGCGGAGGTCGTTGATGGGTCGTGTGGAGATGACGGTGGGATCGGAGGTGGTTGTGTCGTAGTGTGTGATGGTACGGTCGTGTAGCGAGACTGCTCGCTTGCCATCCTTGGAGAGAGCAAGCTTGCTCTTGTCGAGTCTTGTTGACAGGCTGGCGTCGGACGAGGCTGAAGCCTTTACGCGCATGCCCAGCATCAACGCTCTTGCCGCCTCATCGTAGACGGATTCTCTTCGTTTCGAGTCTGCCTTCTTGGCCCATGTCGTCGGCTCGATGGGCAGTTGTCCGAGTTGGTTGGCGAGCGTGACGGCGTCTCTGGAGGCATGCTTCCAGTACCGACACACGTTGCGTGATGCGTAGAATGACCAGGGATCCAGGTACGAGAAGATCTGCTGCTGCAGCTCCAACGGAAGTGTCAAGGCCATGGTTGTGTGTCTTCTCCTTCTCAGTCTTTACTCTAGCTGGGGAGATAGGAATGGGGGAAGAGGTAGGGGCTTTATTCGTATCAAATCTGCGACGAAACCCTGACCGGCAATTGGCAAATCACCTCATCTTGATCCGAATCTTCTCCCCTTGGGGCAATATTTTTTGTTGACTCGTCGTCATGAAAATCCCATCCCTTGCAGCGCGCCCCAGCGTCATCCAGGGTCTTCCGCGCTTGGCTGTGCTCATGTTTCGGCTCTTGCGTCTTGTGCGCCCCAAGAACATTGATGGCTTGACTCTCTTTCTCCAGCTTCTCACCCACTCTGTTTTGACCACTCGCAGTTCATTGCTCTGAACATCATCTTTCGCCTTGACAGCTCTCTCTCCACCTCCACACACCGACTCATCAATGTCTGCCCAAAAGTGTTGAGAACATCCTGTGACAACCGGGCCTGTTAGCGCGGCATCTATCCGATTACCAGAAGCTTAATCCCGAAACGCTATCATCAATCTGATGCCGATGCCTCCCGTCCGTACTGACGAGTCATGACCTATTATTATTCTTGTAAAGACTTTGTTTGCATCTGGTTCATGTTGAGTAATTTGAACCGATCTCTCAAAACGTGATATCGGTCGAAAGCAATCTTCTGCACGCGAAGAACCATTTAACCTATCTGCCTGTTCGTGGAAACATCTCCTGACAACGATAGTTCAAACAATGTCTGCCTTAATCATCTCGTCTAGTGAGATGGAACGAGGGAATGCGGGAAAGGTATTAAGTATTTCTATGTTCTAATGTGGTATCATCGTAAACTTTGTCCCCAAGCCATATGATGTCTGGAAAGAGACATCCAACTTTTGGTATCCAAAAACGCCGCGCTAACAGAATAAGTGCATATGTCAATTCTCTTGTGAAAGGAAAGATCGTGAGTTATCTCATGCAGATGAGACCCTATCAAGCGCCGCGACGAATGCTCGAAGCGCGAGATCTGGAATTGGTGAAAGACTCTCGTGTGTTGACATGGTCGATATCGTAGGGCGAGTGTTCATAGGTAGAGGTGCGCGACAGTCTGGCACCACCAAGTCCTTGGCTGTCGTTTCCGGTCTTAATCTCTTCAAACTTGGGAGTCTCGGCATCTCCGTGCGACTCATCCTCGTACGAGTAATCGAAGGCCTCTTGTTCTTCGTTCTTCTCTTCCTCCTTGCTTTCGCCTCCTGCCATCTGCTTCTGCAGGTTTTGCATAAACTCCATGGATTGCTTGGCATACTTGCAATTCTCGCGAATCTTGGGTCCATACTTGTAGAAGAGGAACGGCATAGGCACACATACGAGAGCGAGGAAGGCAGGAATAGTCGATGCCCAATGAATGCCGAGGTTGCCGTACATCTGGGTAGTGAAAAGNGGAAAGGCGGCACCAAAGAGCGAACGCAGGACGGAGTTGGCTGCCAGCACAGACGCAGCGAAGATAGTGTATGAATCAACTNNGGGAGAAACGTTAGTCGGCTGCTCATCTGATCGAACAAACAATTGCTTACTGAGGAAATTCATGATTCCAAGGAAGACCAACACCATGCCGAAACCGAATGGTACACCAGCAGCGATCGAAGCCATGAAGTGGATTGAGGGGGAGTTGGTCCATGCGAACCAGAAAAGTCCGATAGGCAGGCAGATACCACCTAGGATGCAGGGAGGAAGACGAGCTTCGGGAGGAGCAAAGCCGTTATTCTCTTTGGAGACTTTGACATAACGCTTGTTGTCCCAGATAGAGTAGACGACGGCCATAATCATACCCACCGCAACACCAAGGAAAGCCAGACCGCCAATACCTTGGCTCCAACCACGGTTCTGTTGATAGACGATAGGAAACGCAGCTNNGTTGTCTTCGTTAGCTGAGTACGACATGATCATGATTATAATTGACTGACAGAACAACATGTAGAGTGTTCCGTAGATAATGGCCATGTAAATCGACAGGAGGAGAACGATGGGTTCGCGGAAGAGCAGAATCCAGGGGCGCGAGAGAGCGGTCTTGAAAACTTTGCCGAAGGTTGTGGGGCCTTGGTCGACATCACCCTTACTGCGGTAGACCTTGCCAGTCATCTTGGACATCTTCGCGGCACGCTTGCGAAGGAGTACGGGTGGGTAAGTCTCAGGGATGAGAAGAGAGCCAACAATCCAGAGCACGCCAGTGCTAGAGGACGAAAATCAGTAAACCGAGAGACTATACTAATAGAGAACAAAACTCACAAGNATTGCCATGACACCCTCGACCCATCTCCATCCAATGGTCTCACCGACGAAGCCTCCAACGATAGGTCCGAGTACAGGTCCCATAAAAGGTGCCGCGGCGAACAGAGTCATCGCAAGACCTCTCTCCTCCGCCGGGAAGATGTCCGCTATCACGCCACCGGCATTGGTCAGGGGCGAGGAACCAACGGCACCAGCGAAAAATCGAAGCACAATGAGGGTGGCCATAGAATTAGACCCGGCAGCTCCAGCATTGAAAGCAGTCAAACCACCATAGGTGGTGACAAACAGTACTTGACGGCCGAACAGTTCAGAAAGAGGTGCCCAGAGTAGAGGACCTATGGCGAAACCCAAGACGAAGAGAGAAACGCCCAAAATACCAACTTCTTGGGAAGTACCAAACTCAGTGAGAATCTGTCTGACACCACCCGAGTATGCGGAAGAGACGAAGGCGACTGCGAGTGTAGCAATGGCTACCAGCGCGGTGAGGCCCCATTTCTTGACTTTCGAGAACAACATTGGGTTGCGAGGATCGTTGGTAATCCAGTTAACCACGTAAGGATCCTCGTCAGTTCCGGATCCTGGGTAATTCCAGTTCATTACCTCATCAGTGATAAGACCTTGGTCTATGACCAAACGCCAATGAGGAATTGATGATGGGCCCTTGCCGGCCTCAACGTCCGTCGACTTCTCCATTCTGATCGTGTGTGTTGTAGGAGGTCAAGCGTGGAGCTTGTTTATGCGGGGTAAACCAGGAATCCGAGTAGCAGACGCTAGGGTCGAGAAGCCAGTGTACGAGTCGTGATGAATGTTGAAAGTACTATAGCGCTTCAAAAGCTAGTACAAGAGGGGGAGGGTCTTTAATATGAAGAAAAAAAAGGGCTCTCTATTGTTGCGATGACAACATGGCAAAACGCTGCCTGGTACAGACTTCGTTATTCCATCGGAGGCGTCAAAACGGAGTACCGAGGTTCCGAGTGCTTGGTATGATGAATTTGTGCAGTCGCCCAGGATGCTGCGGACAATGCTATTGGCTCTCGTCGTGAGATATGTATTTATGCAAAGCTTTTCGCTTGTTCGACCTCCGGGAGGGGACGCCCAGAACGCCTCATCTGATAGAAGCTCCGAGGCATCCGAGCGCATCTGCTTTTTGACAAGCACTTCTCAAACGTCGTTGGCGGAACGAGCATACAACAACCTTCGATCTTCGCTGTGAGGGGTCAGATGCTTCTCGCAGTACTTCGTATCTAGATTATAAATCAGCAACTTGACTACAAGTGCTATCGTGACAGTCCGTCTCCGCACCCTGAGCAGATTTGAGTTAGCTATCTACTATGCAGTCCGTCAACAAAACCTCTGCACGATGAATCTTTAAGCAAGGCCGAATAGAAGGGTCCTTATCTGTACGCCCCTTAATCTTAAACAAAAAGAGGTTCCTCATAGCGACTCACGATTCGTGTAACTTGCACTCCCCTAACAACGACTGGCAGATTGGCTCTGCATTTGACTCGCGGTTCTCGCCTATCTGATCGGGCCTTTGAGCGCCGGTGAATGCGAGCCGGTCCTTCACGGGTGCCGACCGCCGCTCTGCTTGCTCCTTGCTGGTGCTCCGGAGCGATGGGTCACCAAGCCTGTCCTAGAGTTGTGCAACTCGTGGTTGGTTCCATGCTCTCCCGTCGGCATCCATTTGTGCTTCCTATTGCCCCTCTGTCCCCTAAAATCCATCTGTGAATCAATAGCTGCAAGAATCCACAGTCGTTCCTGAGATAGGACCATGGCCATCGCGACTTCGTGAAATGACATTTTGCTTTCTTCTGTAGAGTACTCTCCATCTCTAACTTACAGCTGCGCATCGTTGGCAGAGGAAAGAGGGGAGGCATCGCCACTGGAATCATCCGGATCATGGATTGCATCTTGATAACAGGTTACAAAGGCAACCGGTGTGCTTGTATCTTTTTCTACTCTCGGCGACGCCGAATCACGAAGTTGTAGCAGTATATTGTTTAGGTGGAGCAACACGACTGCCACGCACGTCCAGTCTCGTTGAACGGTTGATACAGATACCGTTGTGCACCATCCTAGAACGGCAGCATTCCGAGAAGTTATACAACCCACGTGGCGCCTTCGCTTGTATCTAACCCGCGAGTATGGTAGAATAAATACAGTTCTACATCTTGCACTACGCTCGACTGTTTCTACAGAGTCATGATGGCCCTGTACGAGTAGGCCACGCGCACCCAGTTGTGCAACTTGGATTTGACATCAAGACCATTCATCACTCAGTGCGACCCTTCAGTGCTTCGTGTCCGAGACTCTCGGATCCGAAATCAGACTGCTCGCGAAGTGCTGCCATGTAGGTAGTATAGGGCAGTCGCGAGCAAAGCGAGTCCGCAGATGCGCCACGACGATAATGCGAACTGCGAGAGTTAACCACCATTCGATCGACTTGCGTTGTCCGAGTCGACTCACAGTAAACGATTGGATATACCGAGTCCAACGACTAGTGCTGCTTGTTGCAGATGCTGCGTCACCCCGTTCGAGTCTGCCGGGCTCGACCGGTGAGCTCGCAACTGCAGAGATGGAACGCAAGGTTAGAGAGAAGGGTCCCTCTTGATCGCCGAAGAAGCTGNNCAGCGCAATGTGAATAATCAAGAATCACACACAGCAGCTGCACGAGACTTACCTCCTCATCATAATACTCATCCTTTTGATCGTTTTGAGATCGATAGGAGCCGCATGCTCCTTCTCCTTACCACGATAGGTTGGTTGCAAACCAGACCATGGAACGAATACAAGACCACCTTTCTCGAGACTGCTTTCCCCGAAACAAGGCTTAAAGTCGTACTCCCACGAGATAGTGGCTTGTTCACGTCCATTGTCTGGATTGCGGGGTAGCAGTTCGTCCTTGACAATGAAGGTGTATCTTTTGTCNTGCGAGTTTTCAGGTATGAGCTCGGCGTCCTGCACCAGCAATCTAGGTGGCATGATTCGGGGAAAAGGAGACTTGCCGTCCGCTTCTGCAATGTCGAGCACGATTCCTGCATAATCAGACAAATCCCAGCTTCTGTCCTCACCCGTGGTCCGCTGGCTTGCAAATCCTGCGCCACCTAAGGTTTTGATGTCGAGACTGCCATGGAATCGCCCTGTGCTGCTGTGGCATTCGAGGAAGGACTGCACATCGCGATTTTAGCATGTCTGGAAGCTCGAAAGCGCACATGCGGCTAGTCATCCTACTTGTGATTTGCCGCCGCGTACACGATCGTCGCTTGCAGTCCAGTCTTGGGTCTTCCAGGAGNNCTGTAGGGCGTAAACTATTCAGCGTCTCGCAGTCTCAAAGGCATGCAACAGTACCAACCGACTGCCTCCGAACAAGGTCTGGTCCTTTTCTTTGTTCATTGCCGTATTTATAGCTGAAGGTTGCGTAGCATGTAGATGTTCTGGCGTTGGTTGCGTGAGCTGTGGTTGGTAGCCTCGATCTTGCTTGGCGGTTCGAACTCCCCTCGTGGCTTGAACGCCCCCACTTTACCTTTGATTTATTGCCTGCTGAGCCTGTTGTATCTCTGGAAGTACCGCCCAGCTCCTTCAAGCTCGGTGTCCTTTCCTGGTGACACCGAACCGGTCACGCATCCCACGCATGCTCATTGCTCCCGCTAGCCGGGGTGGAGGTTAAGGACGGAGTCAAGGTGGGGAAAGTTGCAGCCTTATCAGCGTACCGAACGCTCGATTTGGTATGCCCGTTGCGATCAAATCGCTCTCTCCGGGGTACACTAATCTCTTCTGGACGACATTGTGCAATTGTATAGAAGCTTGTAAAATGGATTGTACATTTGAGAGCGGTGACTCATGTCCCAAACTCTTGTAGAGAGCTAATTAGGAGGTGAGGTTGGCTCGAAACAATGCGCCGCACAACCGTCTGTCCAATTCCTTAAACGCCAGCCCAAGCAAACGAGAGTGTGGTATTCCCTTGTAATCATCGATGTTTGTGCGCCGTCGCAAGATACCTGTGAACTCCTAACGCTCATGCCCTCCTAAATCGTTCTTGTATCGTTATCTCATTAGCGGCATATAAGCCTTCACCTAGGACCTTCTCGGACCCTGATGGGTGGCGTCAAAGGCAGTGAGAGGGGTGTGCGGGGAAAAGTCATGTAATCGTAAGGAGGGGAGCTGGTTGTAGAAGGTTCGAAGCTATCTGACAAGGCTGGAGTNCTGGCTAGAGTCGTCAGTCGGAATGAGCGAGAGATAATAAGAAGGAAACTTACGTGAACAGCAGGTGCCTGATAGCTGAATTGGCTGGTCACATCTACGCCAGCCATAGAAGCGTAACTCAGGCTGAAGGGGTTCATGTCGTCCTCTTCGTACACCTCAGGCTTGATGATGGCCGGCATGCTAGTTTGGTAGGCCATTGTCGAGGAAGGTACCATACATGAAGAAGAGACGGGAAGAGGATACGTCATGTAACTCGAGATTGAAGGAGCAAATTGACCATGCTCGATGGATGGGTAGGCCTGGTAGCTGAACAACGGTGGTGGTGATGTAGAGAGCTGACGAGTATGTTGGTACGAGAACATTCTCTTATCGTCGAGCGGCTGTGAGTAAGGGTAAAAGGCGTTGGATGTGTGGCCACGACCGTCGACATTGTTGTTCTCTTGGGCATGCGACATGTGCGAAGCAGCCTTGAAGCCAGCCAGGTTGGTGAGATCTAGATCAACGTATTTGACTTCAGGTGATGGAGAAGCTGAGCTGGAGGCCGCACGGCGTTCTAGGTCTTCGAGACGCTTCTTCAGCTTCTTTCCTTGAATGTCTGTTAGCGACATGTGTGATAGCAAGCAGTCCAGTTCACGCATACTGTAGTTTCTTTGGGCGATGCGGTTTTGGATTCTTCTTCGCTCAGCAAGATCGGTTATCTTGGTCCAATCCTCGTCAGGATTCGCGCTGGCACTAAATGCACTGCTGGTAGGATGTGTCGAGGCATGGTGCTTGTGCGAAGAGGGCGGGGAGCATGAGCATGAGTATGCCGAGCGTCTGTTCATGTTGTGTGTGTAGAGAGTATGAAGTGGGCGGAGTGTAATGAAAAGAGAAGACGAAATATTGGAAGTCGGAAGGACGGACTTTGTATACTCGAGCTGGGTTTGAGGATCTGCATACTTCAGCCTTGGGGGGTGTGGCTCTGATATAGTAGGCATGTTGTGGTTACAGGTCTCTGTCTGGATACAGACAAGCTCAAGAGGATGAGCACCCTGGACCGTTTAGCGTAAGTGCCATGTGAAAGCTGCAGCGGCATTCCAAGGCGCTCCGCAATTGGAACAGAAGGAGCCATGCAGACGGGTCGACAGTGACACCGAGCCAAGTCCAACTCCGCCCATTTTAGCAGCACCCAGCGGTTCCTCCCATACAAATCAATAGGGCTGAGTGCGGTGAGGTTACCACAAAAGGTTGGCATGTCAGGATGCCCTCTAGACCCATTGTAACCAAAAGCATGTGTCAACAGTAGGCAGCGGCGGAGAGTGCCACGTAGGGTCGTGCAGCAAAGCCAGATTTTGGACAGAATATTAGCCCAAAATCCGTTATGGCCGTCTCGAGCAGTGTCAGTAGCCCAAACTCGAGGCGATGCGACGCTCCATGCGCATCTTGCGCCCTCGGGCGATGCTGCTGCAATGCAAGGATTGGTTACAAAGCTCACCGCTGGCACTCGAGGCCGGATTAGAAATAAAGTGACAGGATGGAGGGGGGAGGATGGGAAGGATCCGGAGCGAGGAAGGAGGCTGGCTGGCTTGCGCGCGGGGGGCGTGGTCGGCCGCTTGCTCAGAGCTCAAGCTCTCTGTGAGACCAAGTGATGTGTCGCTGCGTCCCTCACGAACGCCATAGACCAATATCCCAATCCGGTGTAGATCGTTTGCGAACCGATCCTTGTCCCTCTTCCGTCGTGTTCGAGCATACCTACCGGTGACCAATCTCTCGACGCGATGCTGCGGACCGGAGTCGCGGGAGCGAAGCAACGTCTGGCAGGAACGAGCAGACCAATGCCCGTCCGAGTACTCTGGTGCAGACTCGCGCGTCCTGCATCCATGCCAACATCCTCCCCCTGTCCATAGGGCTGACGCTACTCTATTTCACTCGGACCAAATGACGATTATGGCCAACGATGAGCTTTTGGCCTACATGTCAGAGCATGTACTCGCAAATCACAGCGGTAGGGCTGATAGCAGTAGATCCTTGCAGCATCGCATTGCATGCCATAGTTTCTACAGCCCAGCTTCGCTACTGCTATATTCTGCCCGGACTAGTTTATGATGCAAGTCGGTCAACGATTGACCGATGGTGGTTGGTAATACGAACCCTGACTGATACCNTGAGCCGAGTTGGTAATTGGTCTGGAGTCCTGAACTCATTAGGAACCATCAATGCCCACCGATATAGAACAAGCAAGGGCGGAAACTTCCACATGAGTACAGCCATAATTAGCAAAACAAAGAATGCTATCGCACCATTGCGGATAACGGCGNAGGTCTTGAACACACGAAGACACCACGAGTTCACAAGCGAGACCCACGCGTCTGGCAGACAACAGAGAAAGTCGCTAGCCTCAAAGAGTTCCTTCTCAACTCTGTGCAACTCGGTCCCAGATTTCAACCGGTCACNNTCTTTGTTACTGGGATCTGCCAGCTCGACTCCGCAAGTCTTGCTCTCACCCATACCCCATGCCCCTATCCCCGTGTGCTAAGACGATCGCAGTGTAGTTGCAAAATGCTCACAAATGTTTTCAAATACGAGACAAGTCCAAGGATAGCCAATGAACGCACGGCTCTTAGCGGAGACTCCCCCTTGCTCAAAGTACTGTGTAATCCCTTAGCTCACTGCGACTGTCTTCAGCACAAGGGGAGGCCTGTATTCATCGGATATGAGCATGCCTGGCTCAACATTTCCTAGAATCGAGACCGCCTGGTTTGATAGTATGTCCGCCCTTGGTCGGACATCTCGACGGTGTATGGNNCCCTGTCATCCTTGCATAGCAANNGAAGGAGCTGCGATCATGCTAGCCCTCTCGGGCATCTGCCACGAGATACGGNGACACAAACTTACACTTAAGTTGGTTGTTGGGATCGACACCTCGTTGGTAAGTACCCTCTATTTTCGAGACNTTGCGGATGGAATATGCCGACAGGTANCAGAAGACGGATGGGTGAGACCTATCGGATCAGATTCTGACAAGCACAACAGCGTCGTGCTTCCATTCCAGAAGTCGAAGTGCCTCACATGATCGAGCAATGCGGTGTTGAACCGGTCAAGTACCGGTGAGAGAACCATGCTACGATCGCCAGCCATGCTTGACAGGCACAGGTACCGCTTCTGAGCAGAAGATGAAAGAGCTCATGAGTTTCGGTCCACAGAAATCTAGAATCAGTCTACTGACACAGCCAATTGAGGTTACAACAAAGCATGCATGCAGATTGAACCCTCGATACGCGTGGAGGCATGATATTTTGGTTCAATACTCATGTTAATTGATAATCGTACGACTTGCAGCTGTGCAGTTGGCGTACGGCCGGTCAACATATATGTGCTGGACACCTTCGCGCACTTAACACTTCATCCGCCCCGAGACTTCAAACCCCGCCCTTATCAGTACTCGAAAAGTCAGTGGTTACCTGCATCCTCCACATCGAGAGTCCAATCACATTCTCCGGCGAGTTTGGGATGCAGATCAGGTGATATCAGGATACTGAAAGCACCTTCTCATGAGCGAAAGACCGCAGCAATCTCACAGCCGACTTTCTCAAGTCGATTAGTAATGATATTGTAAGCTACTCGTAGGATGCACAACTTCTCTTGAGTACATATTCTGAAAAGGCCTCTGTGTGGTGGATATCACTCCCCTTCGGACAATACTGTACATTTTTATAGCTACTCTCTGATAGCCTCCAGCACACTTGAAGACAAGACTCTATCCTGAGCTCAGATCAGAAGGTGAGCAACTGTCAGTGGGCAATGACAAGGCCTGATTGTCAGTGGCTGCCTGTCAACCTCCCAACAGCGGTGAGTTGCAGATTCGGACGCGACGAGAACCACGTGTGTACCACCGTAACCTATGAGACAGTCCGGGGAAAGCGAGATCAAAGTGTTAATGTCCTCGGTTTTGCATTGTGGTTGGCGGAACCAAATGATAAATCTCACCGCAACAGGGCTCAAATGGGGTGATGACAGGTGACGAAGGACGTCATCTAGAGGCTAGAGCGGGCGCAGGGACATGTATGTGTGTCTACTGGGCAGTCGAGGGAAAAGGAACATGGCAGAGGTGATTAATGGCCTGGTGGTTGATCCGGATCCATCGAGGCATATATGGATGCTCGTGCCCATTCAAAATAGATTCGACTTTTGTTCTAACCAAGCAGAGAGTCCTTGACTCCGACTTTGCTCATGCGCCCCCAATTTTGTCTTTACATAAAGAGCAGAAACTCGCCGGCACTGCCCCGACTGCTTCGCTATACGTTATGTTTCTCATCGTTCCGAAGAACTGAGTCGACCCAGACTCACAAACGCTGGTTGACCAACACTGACACGCAGCCACCTCGTAGTAAGATGTACCAACCAACGCAAGGCCCTTGGTAAGGGTTTTGGTACTGTCAACCGACTTTCGTGTCCAACACCGAAACAATACCATCAAGGCTCAGACGTGTCTGACCTCGAAGCAGCATGAAGAATGATTACACCATCTCCTTCACATATGAGGTCCTGCGCAGAGCACCACATAGACAAGAACAGCAGAGAACCAAATCACGACACTCGGTATAGCTCAAGGTGGCTGAGTCGGGCTTTCCAGACTGAGGTCGACAGTCAGCTTCATAAGCGGACAATCTCCGCACTTGACCAGACTCTCGAGTTCTCGGATGTGGGCCTGGAGAGAGCGATGTTCGTCCAGCAGACGCTCATTCTCGGTCCTTGCGCGCCTTATTTGTTTCGTGGCCGCTGCAATAACAGCGGCTTTGGTGAGTCTTTTGAGCTCGTCGGCTCCCAATCGGGAGGCCGTTCCACCNTGCTGTTCCTCTTTCGAGAGAACCGTGGCGACAATGCTTTCCCGCAGCACATCGACTTGTGCATTGATATTCTCGCGATATCGTCGCTCTACGATATTGTGTCGTACTTTGGCAGAATCTGTTGTGCGGACGCGAGCAGCAGCAGCGTCAGAAGTTTGAGAGGCGTCCTCGGGACTACCAGCGCTAGAGCTCTGTCGTGATTTGATAGCCACAGCCGGGGATGATGTCGAAGAGGTGGTCAAGCTCTGTTGTTGGTCGCCGTTACGTTCGGTAGAGGCCTGAGAAGTTTCAAAGTCCAAAAATGAAGCGTTACGTTTTTGACCGTGAGACAGGTCACTGGGATCAAGTAGCTGTGTCGAGGGCTTCTGTTGGTCTACGTAAGACTGGCGAACGGAGAAAGCCGCCAGAGAACTCCCATCAGAATGCGCAGAAGGATTTGTAGATGGCGCATAGTGGAGATCCTGATCCTGGGTAGGGGATGTGAAGTTGTTGATCTCTAAAGGAGACAAGGAATCTGACTGCGCTGATGTAGCGAACTGCTGCGAAGTTGGTGTCCCTGGGAGACTGTATGAGTATCTTGGGGTACTTGGAGATGATAAGAGAAGATCCATGGTGGACGGATGATGATCATGGGAAAGCGTTAGAGCGAGGGGTGTATACTGACATGCGGAATCAGGCGACATATGAGGGAATGCATATGGGCTCATGAAGTTGTCCGAGCCCACATCGAAGGTAAAATTGAAGCCATTCGGGTCAGAAAAGGCGGAATATGGCTGCGAGCCGTATGCGTCCGAGTTTCGCCAGGGCATGGTTGTGTCAAGGTCTGGTGATAGATCTGGTGATGGGAGGAGGGGCAGAACGGGTGAACGAAACAAAGAGGTCCAGGCACGTTCCTAACGCACGACACACCGACGTACAAGATGAGTTGCAGCACGAGAGAAAAAGGGATACAGACAACCAAGCCAGGAGTCTGCAGCAGCACAGTATGAAGTTGTATCTAGACGTTCAGGTCAAGACGGGTGGGGGAGCGAGTTTTGAGAGCATCGAGCAACGGCAGTCGACGCCGTAACAGGGCAGGATTTGCGCAATTCGATGCACCGTGTCACGACTCGAGTAAAGACAACGAGAGGTGCAAGCCGTCGGTCCTTTCTCGTAAGGCTGAATGGCTGTTTGGCCCGAGCCCTAGTGAATTGGTTTTTCTGTTGCAATTTTCCACGTCGTCGCCTATTGAGGCAGAGCGATAGTACCCCGTGATTGACCGGCGGAGCCTCCCGGTGTGCTAAAAGTATTTAACACGTGTAGCTACAGAAAATGCACAATGGTAATGAGAAACAAGGCAGTACCCACCGAGAGCCAGCATCCTGGCGGCTCTCTATGGCTCACCGTCTGCCCTGGAAAGAATTGTGCCTTTTCATAGCATACACTTCGCTCTACGTTCTCATGGGAGATGGGTGGAGTTACAGACTCTAGCACACGGGGAGGGGGTATATTCGGAACCGGGAGCTCTCGAGTCGCAACCGAACGCCTTAGCGCGGGTACAAGGGTACAAAGGCGGGAGCAGTGGCGTGATGTTTGACTGCTTGGTCCAGGCCATCACCTGATATTGGACCTTGCACGCTGCCCGTTCCTACAACAAGCTGTCGTAGCCTCCCATCACCATGGGTCTGCCCAGAGTTCATCCCGGGACTGTTGACAGCAGCAATGCTTCAACCACACGTATATACCGCTCGGAGGCCCCTGGCTAAGGTAGGTGGATTTCTCTTTCAACACATCAACCGTACAGAGCTTTTTTCTTTCGTACGCAAGCACCAGCAATCCTGTTGGGACCTGATCGTTTCTTTGGCATTCCCAGCTGTCGTGTTTGTGGTTCCCTCCAGTCCCAGACAGTCGGTGCACGGTTTCGAGTCAATCCTCTCCTCTTCCCTGTCGCCTTTACCGAAGGATCATGTGTACACAATATATCGAGCAGCAAGACGCTCAAGTCCTGAGCCGCAAGCGTTTCGACAGTGTCGCCATGGCTGCACGGTCCGAACAGCAGCAGCAGCAGAATGAGTCCGACTTCACGACAACCAGAGCATCATGGCAGCAACAACCGTCCGAGATTGGTCTCAGCATCTGTGAGACGGGAAAACAACGAGCAGCCCAGCGTCCTGCTGGACTGCCTTTCGACTGTTGGAACTCACCACTCTGCCCTCGCAATATGCCGCAAAACGGTTCGGCGCGGTCCGCTGGTCAAACTGTGTGCAACCCCGGCACAAGCCTAAGCACGACGACAGACGCAGCAATAACCTTTTCACGCAATGATACACCCTCGACTGATATTGTCATCCCTGCCGACTCGCCGCCGTTCGACGCCCGTCCCAGTCTGAAGCGCGCGCGTACCGATACCACCTACGATAGGATCGACGAGGCACCCGCTGTCAAACCTGCGCCCAAGGAGAAGAGACTGCCACATCATGTCATTGAGCGACGTTATCGCGAAAACTTGAACACACAAATAGAACAACTGCGTGCGGCGGTGCCCTCAACAACTTCGCCATGTCTGAGTCTCGACATGGAGGATATTGGACCCACGTATGCATCTGCTAGTGTAACACAGAATGCTGCTGCTGCTGCTGCCACCAACAACGGCATCAGGCCTCTCAGCAAAGCCGGCGTTATTGCTCATGCAGCCGAGTACATGCGTCAGCTTTCTACTCAGAACGACGAGGTGGAGAAGCGAAATGCAGAGTTACGCATGACAGTCGAGGCGCTGCGACGACTTGTTAATTGCGAGGGGTGCGGGGTCGTCCAACAACTCATCGATGCTGGAAATTGATCCAGCCCAACTTTCCTTGTATTCCGATTCTTTTGGGTCTTGGGGTCTCGGGGTTTCTGGCTGTCTGCACACACAAGGAGTTTAGGCCACTGATACCACGGAGTTTGCTGAGCAAACGTATGCTAACAACTGTTGAGTAAACTTTCTCTCATCTATTCATACTTGAACACTTCACAAACCTCCGATTTTTCCATTGCTGTGATCAGCACGAGTCGCCCCTATTCACGTGTGTCATTCCTACTGTGGCCTGAACCCCAGCTCTACGGCCGTGACCCAACAGACCGGAGACCTTACGTTTGGGATAGACGGACCGCTGAACCGATGCCTCCTGTCGTCCCAACACCAGCGATCTCTTGCTCGCTCCCTCGATTGTCCTCCCCTCTTGTGCAAAAAAACAAACGCTTACTCCGATCAACCCCTTTCCCTCACAAACCCATAATGCCGTCATACGTTATAGAAATGCACAATTGAATTTCACAACAGGGGTGCCACCATGGAGATGCCCGAACATAACGTCCTCTCCGTGGATACCGCTCTGTTGAAGAGTGTATTGTGCATTTTTACAACTACACTACAACTGTCTACCGTACTTAGGAATAGGTAGTTGATTCGTTATTCTGTTTACCAATGGACCGAGACTCTAGAAGAAGCACTCGCCTCGGCCATCCTTTCGGCAAGCATACCCTAGAAGGACTCGTAGCCTCCCTGCTCGCAACGTGTTCTCATATCTGGTCGATCTTAATGATTCCATCCTATCGTCCGCGCCTCACCATCTACAAATTAGTGTCAGAGTTGTGAGCTGTCTACCTTTGCCGACAATCCGTAACGTGTCTCACGAGCCGTGGACCGTGTTAGATGTTCTGGCTGGTCCGTACGTAAAGTCCCAGACCAATATCCTTATGCTCTCAGATGAAGTGCATTTGTACGATGTACGCCTCCACACAGCCTTCTATTCATGTTCTTCTCGTTGATATTGATGTCTCAGCTATCATTGGTCCCTGCATTGGACCTGCCGCTCTGATGGTTCGGGGTTTGGGCCTCGGGATTTGCAACCTTGTCGTCTAGGTATGTTGCTGTCCTGGTTTCTGCCGGGCATCGGTCTAGGAAGTTCATTCTGCATATTCATGACTGACGCATTCAAGCAGCGTACAGCCTATTCATGGTGACATATATGCATGTAGTAGGCTGTAGAAGTATGTGGTCATCCTCAGTAACCAGAATCTGACCGTAGAGATCATCCGAGATACCATTTTCTCAGTGGATACCACACTTTTTAGAATATTATGTCATGTTTTAACAGCTATAGTATAACAACCAAGCGAAGGAGGGCCATGGTCTGGGTACCGGACATTTATGGTATGTAAACTACTTCCAACTCCTCCAATCCATGTCCTTTGCTCGTATCCTTGAGCAACCGCTGCATCAGTATAGGTAGATCTCGACTGCATAGCTGCTTTAGTGATCACCATTAAACATTGATTGATGTCAGAAAAAAGACAATCATCTTTTCATGGACAATGACATGCTCTTCCTGCACGCAGAAGTGCTTCTACACCTCTCGAGCTCTCTTAGATGCGCCGTAGCTTAAAGCGGTAAGTGAGCTCGCTCCAATCATGTGATTACAATAATTCCTTTTTTTCGTTTTATTCTCACCGAAAATGTCTTGCTATGGAGTATCCATTCGATCAGGTTCTCTTCCGCCACGTCTGCGGTTCGAATCGAATTGTGCACTTCTACGGCTTGTTCAAAAGGGCAAGACGACGCACGGAGATAGAGTTGTAGTGGCGTAGAGGTGCAGGTTAGTAGAGACAAGGGATCGGAGAGCGTCGATTTCACTTAGGGCGCCGAGTGTGGGAGATATTGCATTGCTTTAACATAGGTTCGAGCGCGGCTATGAGGGAGAGAGAGAGACGAGACAAAGCCAACTAAACAGGAAAGCGAGACGCGGCTTGGAATGCAGATTATTAGGAAGGAACTGCTTTGACGGTCAGGGTGGTAGACTTACTTCAGCGTGGGGGTAGTTGGTCGCAAAAACATGATCATGTCAAAACTTTTCTCTCACTTCCGACATTTTTTGTTTCACTTACTGACTGTAGTCCACCTGAGTTCTACTAGCCTGACTGAGATCGACACGTAACAACCAATTCACCTGCTCAGAAATTAGAGCGCAGAGGATTGTTTGCTCATTCCGATTCTCACAAGCTAGCGTTTGCGAGGGGCGTCCGGAGAGCTCGCGGTGTTCTGCCGGTTTGACAACAACATCGCTGAGGAAAACTCTGTAACCCAACCACAATTTTTGAGACTAAACATTTGTCCATCAACGCGATCATGGACGCATCAGCACTACAGAACTCGCGCCGTCGCGCCAATCCTTCAAAGAAGCCCAGAGGAAACCCTAACAAGCGCCCGAAGACCAATGAGCCCAGAGAGCAGAACCGCAGTCAAGGAAATGCTGCTGCTGTCCCTCTTGCGCCTGTGGCACCGCTCTCCATCCCGGTCCCTTCTGATTCGATGAGATTCACCGACCTCAAGAATTTGCTGGACCCGCTCCTACTGAAGACAATCACTGATGATCTGAAATTCGACCACATGATGCCCGTGCAGGAGGCCACTCTTCACGAACTGCTGGAGAAGCGCATCGACTGTCTGGCACAAGCCAAAACCGGAACCGGAAAGACAGTTGCCTTCCTTCTTCCTGCTATCCAGACTCTGATCAACAAGAACAAGCCTCGCGGATCCGGGATCTCTCTTTTGGTAATCTCACCTACTCGTGAACTGGCCATGCAAATCGCAAAGGAAGCGTCCAACTTGCTTCAGCGTCTTCCTCAGTTCAAGGTTTGTTGTGCAATCGGTGGAACCAACAAGGACAAGGAGGAGCGCGACATCCTTAGAGGAGATGGCTGCGACATTCTCATTGCCACTCCTGGCCGTCTCTACGACCACCTTGGAAACCAGCAAATCACACAGTCTTTCCGCAACCTTGATACACTG